TGGCTTCCATTTATTACTTTTATAAGTTCTCATGTTTAAATGGATACCAATTCTTATGGCTTTTTTCTAATTGGATCTTATAGTATAATTATTGGAATTTTTAGTTGTACATATTGTTAGAATTGTGTTATATACTTGTTCTTATTAAATACATTGTATCTCTATTTGGCTTTGCGGATGCATTGCATAATAAAAAGGGGAATTAAGATTGCTGGGGAAAAGATCAACAACCTCAGATATGCAGACGATACCACTCTGATGGCAGAAAGTGAAGAGGACCTCAAGAGCCTCTTGCTCAGGGTAAAAGAGGAGAGCGCAAAAGTGGGCTTGAAGCTCAACATCAAAAAAACTAAGATCATGGCATCCGGCCCCATCACTCCTTGGCAAATAGAAGGGGAAGTCGTGGAAGTAGTGACAGACTTCACGTTCCTGGGATCCCAGATCACCGCAGACTGTGACTGCAGCCATGAAATTAAAAGACGCCTGCTCCTTGGGAGGAAAGCGATGGCGAACCTCAACAGCATGATAAAAAGTAGAGACATCACCCTGCCAACAAAAGTCTGCATGGTCCAAGCAATGGTATTCCCAGTAGTCATGTATGGCTGTGAGAGTTGGACTATAAGGAAGGCCGAGCGCCGAAGAATAGATTCTTTTGAACTATGGTGCTGGAGAAGACTCTTGAGAGTCCCTTGGACTGCAAGAAGAACAAATCAGTCAATCCTCAAAGAAATCAACCCTGACTGTTCCCTGGAAGGCCAGATAATGAAACTGAAGCTCAAATACTTTGGCCACCAAATGAGAAGGGAGCACTCACTGGAGAAGACCCTGATGCTGGGAAAGATTGAAGGTCAAAGAAGACGGGGACGGCAAAGGATGAGATGGTTAGACAGTGTCATAGATGCAACGAACATGAAATTGAGCAGACTTCAGAGGACGGTGGAAGACAGGCAGGCCTGGCGGGATCTGGTCCATGGGGTTGCGAAGAGTCGGACTCGATTGTGCAACAACAAAAATTACAGATAATGTATAACTTGTCTACAGTAATTTGGAATTCCCTTTTTAAAGCATCGGTTTCATTTCACTATGTTTCACTTCACTGCTTGCCATAGATATGGCGGGAGGGAATTCCTGAGGGGAGTGCATGGGTGTTTAGAGTGGATGCTTGTAAAAGCCATAACTTTACCTTAAGGTTGTGTCCCGAAGCTGGTTCCCAAGGGGGCTGGCCTTGGAGTCTTTCTGCCAGGCTAGGATTTAGATAAGGTGCCGTATATCTGTCAGAGTTGCCATGGTAACTGTAGGAGCGGAATGGTGACATATGTGAGAAGTGTGGGGTGTATTGTGTATTACCTATAATAGGGGCTTTTGTGCGCCTTTTTCCAGTTCTGACACAGAATTTGTTTCCTTAAGTAAGCATATCTCAATAAACTATCACTGCCAAAGTGTGTTGTGGAGAGTGTCTTAACTGGGAGATCTGGCACACATTGTACCACCTTACTGAGATCTGTAGGAAACACACAACAATTTTCCAGTTTTTTTGAAGGTTTTTATGATAGCTGAAGCATTTGGTAGATGATGCTGTTTTTAGAACTCATATCGCTTTTATGACAGACTAGGAGCAAAGCTCATTGTAGAACGAATACAACGGGCCCTAGAAAGATGGGACACAGGTGGCTCAGTTCCCCCACGTTCTCCCCCCTCCCCAGCCCCTGGGGTTGAGGGGTGACAGAACGCCCCATGACTGGCCTTCCGCCCAGGTGCGTCCTGCAGCCTCCGGGCCACCTCCACCAGTCTCTGGCCTGGTAGCGTGCCAGCCCCTGGCGGGTTGCAGGCTGGTGGGTGACCTGTAGTCGGGCTTGTGCGAGGATGACCGCGGCAGCAGCAGGATGGGACTCAGCCTGATGCTCCCCACCTGCTGGAGCGTCCAGCCTGTCCGTTGCTCAGTCACAGCACGGCCAGCTATCTGTAGTTGGGCTCAGGTGAGGATGACCGCGGCGGCAGGAGCGGGCTCAGCCTGAGGGCCCCCCTGCCCGCTGGAGTGCCCGGTGTGCCTGTTGTCCGGTCGCAGCCCAGCCGGCCACCTGTAGCCAGGCTCGGGTGAAGATGACCACGGCGGCAGTGGCAGGAGCGGGCTCAGCCTTCTGCCCCCGCCCGCTGGAGTGCCTGACGCATCTGTTGTCTGGTCGCAGCCCGTCCGTTGCCCAGTCACAGCACGGCCAGCTACCTGTAGTTGGGCTCAGGGGAGGACGACCATGGCGGCAGGAGCGGGCTCAGCCTGAGGGCCTCCCTGCCCACTGGAGTGCCTGGCCCATCTGTTGTCCAGTTGCAGCCTGGCTGGCCACCTGTAGCCGAGCTCAGGTGAAGACAACCGTGGCGGTGGCAGCAGGAGTGGGCTCAACCTGATGCCTAGGGGCAGATTAAGGCTCACTGGTGCCCTAAGCACTGACCAATCTTGGTGCCCCCCTCCTTTCCACACTGACTCAGTCCATTTTAGTTGTTGACCTGTCTGACCAGATATACAATGCAGGTTGCAGCAATACAAAAATTTATTCATATGATAACACAATATACTGTACAAACTAAGCCAAGCTTGGGCTACATAAAGTTCTTTTCATCCTTTTCCCAACTTTGTGGTGCCCCCTTTGGCCCTGGTGCCCTAAGCACGTGCTTAGTCTGCTTAATCCACCCCTGCTGATGCCCCCCCCTCGCTGGAGCACGTGGTGCATCCGTTGTTCGGTCGCAGCCTGGCTGGCCACCTGTAGCCGGGCTCTGGCGAAAATGACCGTGGCAGCAGGAGCGGGCTCAGCCTGATGACCCCCCGCCCGCTGGAGCACCCGGCCCCTCCGTCGGCTTCAAGCAGACTGAGGCTGAGACGCTGGGCGATGCTTCTGTGGGCAGGACGATGGCAAGGGAGGCAGGAACGCAGCCAGTGGAGACAGACACGGCGTGACTGACACACCAGGGAGCCAACTGATTCGGGAGCGTGTGGAATCTTCTGGAAAAGTCTCACACGAAAAGACAATGATATATAAGGAGAGATTTTTGTATTTGTGTGTACGTTAGTCTTTTTTATTTTTTTATCTTTGCATTTTCCTTTTGTAATATAATGTATCAGTTAGCTTGTAAGGTGCCACCAGACTGAGTGGGTGGGCCAGGAGATGGATACAAAAGATTCAAAAAAAAAAATTGTCCTCTATTACATTTATAAATTGGCAGGCAAATTATGTCAGTTACACCTAGTGATGCCAGCCTCCAGGTGGGACCTGGATTTCTTCTAGAATTACAGCTCATCTCCAGACTACAGAGATCAGTTCCCCCAGAGAAACTGGATGCTTTGGAGGGTGGACTCTATCGCCCTGTACTTCACTGAGGTCCCTGTCCTCCCCAGGCTCCATCCCCAAATCTCCAAGAGTTTCCCAACCTGTATCAGGCAACCCTACCCCCCCATCCCTCACTGGTGGTCAGGGGGGACCTGGCAACCCCAGTTACACCTGATGCCAGTACAGTTCTTTCCAGTATAGTTTTTAGCACTGAACAAGTTCTTCTCCATCCTTCTCACATTCCAAAGAAACTATAGAAATATATTAAATAGTAATAATAATAACCTTTCAATTTATTGATCGCTCAATCCTTGCAGCGGTGCCGGCTCTGAGCGATTTACAGTTACTCATGTGTTGACATGGGACTAACAATGATGGGGGTAAGGGAGGACAACATATATCATTTTTAATCACACACACTTCGCAGTCGACAGGGAGTATTCACTTATCTAAAGAGAAAACAAACTTTATTAATGACAACGTTGTTTTTGCCGACATGAAGTCATAGCTGACTTATGGCAGCCCTGTAGGGTTTTCAGGGCAACAGACATTCGGAGGTGGTTTGCCATTACCTGCCTCCAGCCCTGATATCCCTTGATGGTCTCCCATCCAAACACTAACCAGGGCTGACTCTGCGTAGCTTTCAAGATTTGATGAGATTGAGCTTGACGCCATACAATGATGTATAGCAAGCAAGATGACAGCCAAGGTAAAGGTAAAGGTAGTCTATTAGATCATCTTGATCTGTGGTGACAGATGGGAGTGTCATGTGACAAGTCACCAGAGCATAGGTTGCATCATCCCGACTACTGTCACCATGACTCAGCACTTCAATCTGACTGGTGCTGAGACGTATATATTCCGTACAGTCTGTGTGTTCTTCATCACTCTTGTCAGTTGGATTATATGCGAAGCACTTTGTCGGTTTGCTTGGAGAATTGGATACTGCAAGTGCTATATGGACTGTATGTATATATTGCTGTAAATAAACCACTGTAAATAGTTCAGCACTAGCCAACTCTGGATTGAGTCATTATTTGCGCTTCTAATACGCTGACAGAGCTAGCCTGGGCTATCCAGGTCAGGGCTCCAATATGTATAAGCACTGGCAAAATCTTCAAATGGAGCTGGGAGAATTTCTTTAAAAAGCAAAATATTACCCAAAAACAAACAAACCCACAGCATTGTGTAAGCCTGGTTGCTTCACAGGCTGCTAATATTGCGCTCAGTGCTTGAACTCCCTTATGTCAGGCAATGTTTATGCAATGGGCAAGGTCCTGTGTTTATCTTTGTGGCCTGCTAAATATGGGAACAGGACACAGTGGGACTTCTCTTTATTCTTTTCCTCTGTGTCTTGCAGAAGACTATGAGAATCTCCTAGTTGCAGAGGCACTGCTGGAGCTATGCTTGAAAGAGAACCTTGCCAAAATAAAGGACGCCGTTCCATTAATGGAAAAGAATGAGTCAAAAATGAGTGATGCCAAAAAGCACTTGACTGGCATTCTAAACCGAGGGAAGTTACTGGTAAGCATGCTCAGTAGATGTAAAACATGCACCATTTAAGATGCTGCTAAATGATGTACAATTACAAGGCTGAGATACAAAATGTTGGAACCTGTTAATCACAGCTGCCTCTTCTGCATCAGTCCTACATTTCTTTAATGGCTCCAGTAAATATGCCATTTGTTTTCTCCCTGCAGTTTTTGTTGTGCAGAAAAAAACACCTTCATTAGGATTTAATATATTAAATGTGCAGCATGATTCTATAAATCTGCTTTAGCAAAGGAAACAGAGGAACTCATGACCCTGCATTTAAAGTAGGATCCTCTGCTGTGGCCAGAACGATTTGGCAATGGGCTTATTGTCAGGCACAACCCTCCCCCCCCCCGTTAGCTTACTGCAAGCGACTTTCCACATGGGAGTTTTGAGCACTCCTGTATCCGTTCCCATGCATATTCCTGCCCTGTGCAGCAGACTGATGAGAAATTACCAGGATCTGTGGATGGCACACTGCATAAAGAAGAATGTAGCACAAAACCAGCCTTGTAAAATAAATCCATGAATGTTCCTACCCATCTGATTGTACACACTGATGGACAGGCTCTCATTATTGTTTCTCTAGTTCAAAGGGAAACAAGTCTTGTAAATGTTATGTTTCTATTCACATGGTGCCTGTTGTTATGTGCCACAAGAGAAGAGGCTATTTTCTAACTAGCACAAACCCCCATACTCCAAAATATCTCCGTTCTGGGCAATGGTGTCCTTAGTTTGACACAGAGGAATTAAACCAGGTATGGCTGCATTCACACACACACTAAATAATCCACTTTCTATCAACTTTCAGTGCACTTTCCAACAGGATTTTACTGTGTGGACTGACAAAATCCAGGTGGAAAGTGCATTGAAAGTGGATTGAAAGTAGATTATTTACTGTATGTGACTGCAGCCTATCTGTGAAAGAACCAGCCATGCTCGTAGGCTGACTTAAATATGATGCTGGCTACAAGCAAAGCAATCTTTAAACTGATTCTTCTAAGAATCCTTTCGTATTCCCAACCATTCTTTCAGAGAAGAAAAACTAGTATTAAAGAACATAGTATGTTTGGCTTTAAAAATGATGATTATATTCTCCTGCTTATATTAAATGACCACATTTTGGAATTGGAATGAACTCAGAATTGCAGGTATATATGTAAAACTATCCAGTTTCCGCAATTTACTATTATCATAGAATCTGGGGGTTTAGGCTTTATAATTCATAGGCTTTGTAAGGGGAAGTGGTCTGGACACTAAACAATGTAGTAGAGATAGGATTATGAATCTGGAACACAGTGCAAACAAAAAACTGTCTGGCTTATTATGCCATAATGAAGAAAGGGGGTTACAAAGGCAGAGGACACTGTATAGAAAATGGAGGCTAGACATACTCCATACTGTGTGTGTGTGGTTCAAGTGAATAGAGAACTCTGGGCTTATGACAGTTCAATGTATACATCAAAGCTCATAAGGGATATGGATAGAGGTGCTTTGATCCTATTTAACCTTCACAACATAATTCACTCCGAAGCAGTGGTGCTATGCTGTGGCTCTGCCTTATTACTGAAAATAACCTTTGCTCTTCTTCCAGCTGAAAGATATGACAGAAGCAATGCTGATCCTAGCCAAGCTCCATTATGTCGAAGGCTCTTACCGGGATGCCATCAGCATGTATGCCAGAGCTGGTCTTGAAGATATCTCTGTCGCACAGAAGCCCTTGTATCTGCTGCGTATACTAACAGAAGCTTTTGTTATCAAAGGTAATGGGGATGCATGCATTTGCTGGACTTAATTCCATGTCTCATGGTGTAGTGGTAATTTGTAAAACCAACTTGCATTGATCTTGTGATCTGCCCGTTTTGAAGTTGAAGGACATTTTTTATATGGATTTGAATAGGAGCTATCTTGGTTTTGAAGGACATTTTTATATGGATTTGAATGGGAGCTATCTTGGTTTTAAGCACTTCTGAAAATTCTGTTAATACTCCTGTCTATGTATACAGAATTAATACTCCTGTATACGTATACATATACAGAATCTTAATCCGTAAATTGTACAAATGCTTTGTTATAAGAAGTTTGAGAACAATGGTTTAGATGACAGAATTTGGTGTAATAGATACAGGGACAATCAACATAACGTTTGCCAACTATAAGTCTCTCTGAAATCAATGGACCGGTTACTTATGACTAACTTGTCCCATTAGTTGCAAAAGGACCCTTAGTATGGTTCACCTTATGTGGGTTGAAGCTGTAGACTCCCATCAGTAAGGCACATGGCTCATAAAACTTCAAGTCAAAAAACATAAGGATTTTGAAGAGGGTAATGAAAAAACCCAGCTGTTAGATAAGATATAATAATAAATACTGATACTAGGTGGCCTTAAATATTAGAATTTGAAAGCTGCTTCTTAAGTCCCATTTGGACTTTGGAAAGGATTGTCAATTGTGTGATATAAGTTTATATTTATGAAAGATGATCACATAGTACATTATTATTTTGTCTTTATAATGCACGTAGGCTGTCACTAGAAAATGATCAGTACTATTATTTTTAGAGTTAAAATACATTATTACAGTAAGATGCGCAACACCCCTGTAAGTGAAGTCATCCCCATATTACAGGCTGAGGAAGGGAGAACAGTGTCTTTGTTAAGGCCACCTATTGATTTCATCACTGAAGTGAATTTGATCAAGGACTTTCCTGGCCCACCATTGACATTCTTAGGCCCTTTCATGAAGATAGTTTCAGAGTGAGTCTTTTAATAACATGCAGTTTCAGAGGGTAGCCATGTTGGTCTGCAGTAGAACTGTTAGATTTGAGTCCAGTAGGACCTTAGAGACCAACAAGAATTTCAGGGTGTAAGCTTTCAAGCAGGTTTGCCTGGCCCCTCCTGGCAACCAGCAGGGGATGGGAGGACTTATCGGAAACAGCAGAGAGGCCCATCCAACATGCAGCGATGTGTCTGCATCACTGGCCACATGACTTGGAAGTGATGCCACCACTTCCAGGATGTCGGGGCAACACTCTGGTATTTGGGCAAAAACTCTATAGTAAATTTGGCTTCTACCATAGAGTTTTTGCCCAAATACCAGAGCGTCACCCCAATGACCTTGACAAGAGGATGTCACTTCTGGGTCATGTGCACAGTGACGTAGATATGTTACTGTACATCGGCTATATCTCCCTCTTTTTTGAGATAAGCCCCCCCCCCTCGCTGGCCAACTGATTGGTGGTGGGTCGGTGGGGCCCGCGGCGGGGGGGCACCCCCCTTTCCCCGGGGGGGGGGGGGAGTCTGGCAACCCTACTTTCAAGAGTCAAAGCTGCCTTCATCAGACACGGTAGAGGAGCTCTCCACTTCTACTCTACTGGTTCTGACCTTGAAACTCTTGTTGGTCTCTAAGGTGCTATTGGACTCAAATCTAAATATTCTTAGGCCCTGTGGTACACCAGCACTATACCTGTTGTCGTTGATGCTATTCATGACTAGATATACATGTTTTGTACTAAGAAATTAATTTTTTTTGGGGGGGGGAATATAATGTAGAAAGTGGTCCTGAGAATGAGCTATATTCTAGTATCTCTTCATGTGATGCTGCAGGGTCTGGTCTTGCATATAACTCTGTACCTACAGATGGAAACCAGTAGGTCATCTAATCACCTCCTCCCTATCTAGCAAATTCTGTACTTAAGGCATTCTACCCAGCCTTTTCTTGAAAACTACCAAAGAAGGAAATTCCACCAATTCCCTAGGGCAGTTTATTCTCTTGCTGAAATGTTCTTCTAGAGAGGAAGTTCTACCTGATATTTAACCTTAATTTATCTCCCTGTAATTTTAAGCATTGCCTCCTATCCGTCCCTTGTGGATAGAGCTGAACAATTGCTCTCCTCCCCTTCCTTTGGACATCCTTTGTAAATATTTAAAACTCTCTGCATAACACTTTTCTCTAGGCTACAGGTAGTGAACCTTTTCAGCTGTCTTCCTTGTGATTACTTGAGGTAATAGATGGTGGCTTCAGATAGTATGGAGTGGGAGTGGAACTAATGCTTTATCATTCTTGAAAATGATGTTTCTTTCATGCTGCCTAAAATGACATTCATTGTTTTGTCAAGTTATCCCATTGTTGGCTGCTAGAGCCTCTAACCTTTCTCAGAAGTGTTTAGCCAGTTGCTTTAAGCATCGGATTCTTCTTTTCTTTGCATAATACTTTCTTTGCTTCCACTTCAGACATCTTGGTTAAATATAATCTCTCCAATGTATATAATTTTGGAGAGGATCTGGGTGATGTGTGTGTGTGTGGGGGGAGTTGTTCAACTGCTTCTCTGCAGAAACTTTTTAAAAAGCCTCTTGTGATCTTCATTTTCTGTTTGCTTTCACTGCTTTTTAGAGATGTTGCTAAAATATTGCAATCTATCTACTGCTTTTCTACTCCTTTTCAGCATGCCCACCAGCTTATTAGGTGAATGAGAGCTCTGTGATGATCAGATACCTTCAACTGGTATGTAAAGATCAAAGCTGAAATCTACAAATATCACTGAAAATACTCCCATTAGTGCACCGACTTTGTTTTGTGTTCATCTCAAACCACCACAGTTTTGCGCTCTTGGTGTGCTAGACAGTCCTGCTTTGCTGGCTTTCAGGGTGTGTCCTCTCTTGGGGTCTGGTGAGCAGGTGTGGTTGCAAGTTCTTTTTATAGAGTTCTGCCCAAAGCAGCATCACACCTTCTAAGCCTGCTAACTTAGAAAGATACAATGCTGCTTAGAGTGGCACTGTCCAGCTCTTAACTACGTAGCTGGTCTAGTGTAAGGACCACACAAAGTAGAATTAGGTGTGGCCATCACAGCAGCCCAGGCCATTCCCACCCACTGCTTCTAGATTTTTAAGAGATACATGCTCATGTGTACACTTGCATATATGCTCCATTGCACAGAAAGTAATATGAGAACTGGCCCTTCAGCTTAGCGTCTAGTGGGCTCGACTCAGGCTGGCAACAGACAATAATGCTTGAAATGACAGGATAGGGCCATTGTTTTCTATGAGATATACACCCATTTCTTCTGTTCCAATGTGGCCTCTGAACAAGGAGGCTTTTCAGTTTTTGAAGCACTTAAAAAAAACCCTGTACAATCTAGAGGGATGAATGGGCACACTACTGACAATCAGGCATAATTCTATCATACTGTCTTCAACTTTCTGGAGAAGGAAAAAATGTCCTGTCTCCAGACTTACTTACAGTCTTTTGACTGAAATTTGTCTGATGGAAGGATTTGGTCCATCTCTATAAAATCTCTTGACTGATTTAAGAAACGTTAATATGTTGTATTTTTGATATTATTCTGTTTTTAAAGAAACAACTATTGTACTGCCCCTGTGCTCTTTGCAGCTTGCATCAGAAGGCAGGGCCAGTTCCACAGCTTGGGAGGGAGGTCAGGCAGGCATAGAGGGCTTGTGAATTAACAAGTGGGGTAAGATAGCATGAATGGGCCCTAGGCCTTGGCAGCTGCCTTCCCTCAGGGAATGCTGATGCTGGTCTTGTTGGAGGGGCACATTCTGTTAGTGGTTAAGGATCCAAGGCTGCCTACAGTAAAACATGCAGACACTTTATTATACATATGCTTAGGCCGAGTTCAGACCGGCAGTTTGGGCCGGCAGCCAAACGTTTCAGTAGCATTTCAGTAGCGGATTAAAGGGCAGGTTCACACAGGCACATATTTCAGGCGTCCCCCAGCCGTACTCAAGCCGTCTTGTGCCGCTTCCCTTCCGAGTTTAAAAAGTACCAGGTGAAAGTGGTAGCAAACCGTGTGTAGAGTGGGTTGATTCTGGTTCCCTGAGTGTGAACGCAAGCGCTGCTAAGGCGGGAACAACCTGTAGTCGTTGATAAGAGGCGCTGGCTGTTTCCGCGGCAGGCACCCATGCGCATAGGTGCATACAGTGAAGCGCAGAAACAGCCGCTAACAGCCCACCGTGGCGTGCCAACAGTGCGAACGCTCCCTTGCGCTTCCTCCACGGTATCCTCCCGCTTCATTCGCTGCAGTGTGAACGGGAATACCGCGACCAAGCCATTCCGGGTCTGTTCCGGGTCTTCTTTGCCATGACTCCCTAGTGCTTCAAATTGCCAGTCTGAACTCGGCCTTAGTTTATTCATCCTGAAGAGGAGAAAGATGATGTATTAGGCATTTCTTACAGATACATATCTCACAATATCTAGAGAGTTGCATGTCATCCTTTTGGGTTTCTCAGCTGTTTGCTTAATGGGACATAAAACACGTAACAATTTCTTGGTCAATAAGTCATAAAATGTGTAACAACATTTGTCTAGCTGGGAGACCTTTGCAAATGGAGTAGACTCAACGATTCCAAATTCCTAGCTGCTGGATTCCTAGATTTCTGCTGAAATAGCTGGTTTTCAGTTGCTTTATATGAAGTTAGCTGCAGGTTATGCCCAACTAAGGTCAGTTCAGCAACAGGTGAACATTATTGTCAGGTGGCAAAGCCTGACATTTGTGGGTCCCATTTCCCCATCTACCCCACTAGAATGGTGTCTAGTGTGGGCAAAAACGTATGCTAATATGTATACAGAGCCTGGCTTAATGCCTGTTGTCATAGAGATGCCAGTCTCCAGGTGGGACCTGGGGATCCCCTGGAATTACAGGTCATCTCCAGACTACAGCGATCAGTTTCCCTAGAGAAAATGGATGTTTTTGGTGGTGGATTCTATGGCATTATACCCTGCTGTCCTCCCCAGGCTCCACCCCCAAATCTCCAGGAGTTTTCTAACCCAGAGCTGGCAAACCTACTGGGGGCCCCATCTCCTGCTGGTGACCAGGGGGGACCTGGCAACCCTAAGTCTGTTGAGCTTGTTTAGGAGAAGAATTTATTTTCTACATTAGCTTAATGTTCTTAATACCAGCTTTATCAGTGTAAGTCAAGACTGACATGTGGATTATATCCATGGAGAACAGATTTCTTGGACTGGCTTTGGTTGCCTGCTCTGAGGACCCTGAGATATCTCCTGGGGAGCTGACCAGGGAAGCAAACAAGCAGTGCAAAAAAAAAAACCCAACTGATCTCTAGGGAGAGACACAGGTGCTTCAGGTTCTTATAGCCGTCCCCCTCCCGGCCCAAACCGCCTCGTGTGGACAGGGCCTTAGTTTACTAATGTGACTCAAGCTGTAGTGTCAGCAAGGCCTTAACGTAGGTGTCTAAGGATGTGGAGATTCCATTTCCTTTCTGGTTGATACAGGGAGCTAAACATCTTCCAGATGACGTGAAGGAAAAAGGAGAGATGCTTGGCCATGAGCAATTGTCCCAGTTTTGTTGTGCAAGGGGGGATATTGACTGCTTTGCCTCTTTCCTTCATTTTGGCCCCCATTTTCTGTCATGCCCCATTTTGACAACATTAGGCGAGGGGGTGGGGTTCAGTTCATGGCCAACTTTCTGTTTCTTGGTTTCTACTCCTACTGATTCCCTTGCCAGGAGCGCTAGTAATGAGGGCCGGATGAAATTGCATCTCAAAGACAGTATGAAATGCTCTCCTAGGACCGTGAAGCCCATAGGATACAGTTCATCCTCCTCTGCACTCAGGAATAAATAGCACCTTGCTTCAGGTAGAAGCGGTATCCCCAGAGGATCAGCATGATGTAATGGAGGCCAGGAATTGCTAAGGCCTGGTCTAGACATGCAGCTGAGGTGATGGTAGAATTCTGAGGTGGAGGAATGGGCTGCATCACCTCAGATGGCAAATGGGGGGGGGTTGAATCATATTTTGATTAAAACTCTCTACAAATAAAAAAAATCAGCAGAAGCTCGGTTGTGTAGCACTCCTCATTCCTTGCTAATTTCCCACTTACAGTGTATTATTGATACAGGGGAATGCGGAGAAACTGCAGTCCGAGGTGGTATTGCCCCAGCACTCAGTCAGCTTGTTAGCACCTTGTGCTGCTGCATGGGTAGGCCAGGCTTGAGTTCAGCCTGGTGCAGGAGATGAGTCCATGAATCCCTAAAGGCAAGTTCAACTGGTGGGTGCTTTCCTGAGCCACTTAATTAGGAGTTAGACAATGCAGTTTCTTGAGGGTAAAAAACAGAAGGGACTCCTTATTTGCTTGTAGTTTCTTCTGGTGCTGTCTACTGAAGGCAGAAGTGTTCTTTTATGCCTATGTGTAAATGGGTGGAAGGAGCATTCATATGGATCTGTACAGAGGAGATGGCAAAGCATGTATATGGTTATATACACATGTATATGTATATGGAGAGCCAGTTTGGTGTAGTGGTTAAGAGCGGCAGACTCTAATCTGGAGAACAGGGTTTGATTCCCCACTCCTCCACATGCAGCCAGTTGGGTGACCTTGGGTCAGTCACAGTTCTCTCAGAGCTGTTCTCGCAAGAGCAGTTCTCTCAGAGCTCTCTCAGCCCCACCTACTTCACAGGTTGTCTGTCGTGGGGAGAGGAAGGGAAGGAGATTGTAAGCCGCTCTGAGTGAAGGGCAGGGTATAAATCCAACTCTTCTTCTTATGTTCTGGTGTGGCGCAAATGCCAGTCTAATTTGCAGTGGACATTTTTATACTGTTCAGGATGTCAGCCAACAAGTTCTTTTTTTCCCTTTTCCTGCTCTTGAAACCATAGTGAAGTGAGGTATCAGACCACATCTGTCAGTGCTTTCATTTACACATTACTTTACACAGTTGTATGTACGAGGGATTCTGGTTGTGATTTCTGTGTGTGTGACATTCAGAGATGATTGCTTATATGAATCTTCACTGTCTGCACCCAGTAGCTATTATTATTATTAAATTTAGATGTCACCTCTCACCACTGAGTGGTCTTGAGGCAGCTAAAATATTAATAAACATCAATTAAAGACATAATACAAATAAAACTAAAAGGCAGCCCACATAAACAGCTAAATGGAAAAGCTAAATGGAAGAGCTCTGCTTTGCAAGCCCTGTGGAACTTAGATAGGTCCCGCTTGGCCTGTGTACTGTCTGACAGCTGATGTTGTATGGTGAGGCCATGAAGTTAAAGCCTCAAGCTCAGTTCCAAAATAAAAACCAGACTGGGTGCAATAAATTGATGATCCACTGCCAGGCCAAAAAGCAGTATCAGAAAGAGAAAACATCCCACTACAGTTAATTTGCAAAAAAGGAAAATTCACTTACATAAGATGAATAAGATAAATGAATGGCAAAGTAGCTAATAATAACAATAATACCAATTAACTGATTAATAATACACAATACTGCTAAGCCAACTAGTGACAAATGCTTGGCAGTTGGTCATAGGCCTGGCTGGCAGGAAAAACCCAGAAAATATACAAGTACCCCCAACTTTTGAAAAGGCTGCCAAATTAAAACATTCCCCCCCCCCCCAGTCAGAACTAGGAGAACAAAAAGCTTTACCAAAGAACAGGCAAAAATAAGAAGTCCAAGGACCAACTAGTCAATATGACTGCAGGGCTGCAGAGCAAACAAAGATACCAGATGATTAACATAACTGACATAAATTCAGGCCTGCTCTCTGCAGGGCTCACACAGAGGGCTGCAACCCTTTGTGTGCTGCCATGGCACGTGCCAGTGGTACGGCCATAGGCTGGCGGTATGGGCTTTGTAGTGCCTGCAGGGGGCTTTCTGGAATGAGGGCTGTGCTTTGTAGAAGTCAGCCTTTTGTGCAGCAGCAATAAATGGAGGATCTTCTCCTTCGTTATACCACTTCTGCATGGTGTGTGCTTATATCCACACTGAGCAGGCATAGAAGAAGAAGGAGGAGGAGGAGGAGGAGAAGAAGAAGAATGTGCATGAATGGGGGGAGGGGAGTGAAGGCAGCTCAAGTGCCTGGGAGACTGAAAGAGTTAGTAACAGGCAAAAGAGAGACTAGAAGGAATGGTTACTGAGCTGTTGCATGTGGAAGCATGAGAAATTGTTTAGAGATGGAAGAAGACAGTGGTGCAAGAGTGCCCTTCATTATGAATATGTATCTGTCCTACTTTAAAAAAAATAATACCAACATACTGCATCCGACATTATATACCAGGAATATGCAAAAAACACGCCCCTGAATTATCTGACCAGGGTCAATTATGCTTGTTTGAATGGTGTTCACATAATGGCACCAGTACACAGTAGTGTGTGCAAAAGACAAATCTCCATCCCAAAGAGGTTGCAGTCAAAATGGTTTTTGCATTTGGCTGCTTTCCACAATTTTTTGCTGCTAATCCTAGAGAAGATTTCAAGGTACTGAAGCCTCTCTGTCTGACCACTAGAAATCCACCTTAGATCCCCTGTAGCTTCAGGGATGACGCTAGTTCTTCTTATGGTTTCAAGCCTACCTTCCTAGGCTTAAGAAACAGAAACTAACTTTTTGGTTTAAGAAACAATGTGCCGTGTGATCACAGAAGCAGAATTCATGCAGCCCTCCTGTTGGGAGCAGAGGCTTTTACAATGACATTCATCCGGGGTAGAAGGAATATGCCTTAGCTGAAGTTTCAGGAAAGGGAGAAAGGGACAGGTGAATGGATATATCAGGCCTCGTGTGGGCAGCCTGGGAAGCTCTGGGCTGCGTGTGTATATACTCTCTCACACACACGCATGTATAACACGGGAAGGGTCAGTGGAGGTAATATAATGTGATCAATTAAGAATGACCTGTTTTGTTTTTAGTGTGGCTTTAATACGTCGCTGTTGCTGTTGCTGTTCTCACAGGATTGTCCCTGGAGCGCTCCCCCAATTCAATTGCTTCCCGGACACGGCTGTCAGAAAGGGAGGAGGAAGTCATGGCTTGTTTTGAAAAGGCTTGTGTGTTTGCTCAAGTGTACTTACAAGAACTTGAGAAGGTAAATGGAAACATACTTGAAATGCCCATTTGCACTTCCTTAAATGTGAGGGGTCTGGATCACTTCAGGGTTCATGCAAATGTGGACACTGAAGAGAAAAAAAATCTTTTCACTCTTCACTTTCATTTAATTTTTCTGTCCCATACTTAATAGCATAGTGCTGCCGCTGCATCCACACAGCAAATATTCTCCGTTTTGCATTAATGGCTGCTGCAAACACAGAGGCATTCACTAGGATTGCTGGCACAAGGCTGGCAACCAGTGGGAGACTCAGTGATGGGGGTGGCCTCCTCACTGGCAATGTACTGATGTTGCTGGACACAATGACATCACTTCTCATGAGACTGGAAGGGACACCACTATGCCAATGGCAATGTTCTAGCATTCTGCCAAAACTCTATGGTGCCAACATCAGTGGACACGATGACGTCTCTAGTGGTGTGACTTGAAGTTCCATCATTGCATCTTTGGCAATGCTCTAGCATTTGCCCCCATTCCCCCCTTTTTTCTCCCATTGCCCAGCTGAGGGTGGGGGGAGACAACCAATGTGTGTGGGGGTCTCCCACCAAAGTGGGAGACGAGGCATTTGCATTTGCAGTGGAGTGTTTACACAGGAGTTTTCTGCATATTTCCCCCCCATCAATCACTATTTTTCCTACACCTTTTCCCTCTCTGCATGGAGAGAGGGCTTTTTGACAGCTTTTGAAAAAAACCTGGTAATTGCTATAATGTTATAGTGCTATAGCAATTGCCAGTTTTTAAAAAGATCCTCAAAAAGCCCTCAGGTGGCATGGCATGGAGAATAGCAGCCCTGAGTAGCTGATGAAAGGAAAATGGTGCTGAAGTGGGCAGGGACTTTAAAATGCACAGCTTTCCATCCAGACAGTATGCTAACTTGCTAGAACTGTGTTCTATTTATATAAAAGGAAAGATCATTGTAAAGCAAGTTTGAGAAAGAGCATGCTGAAGATGGGGAAGATGTGGGAAGGGGACAATTAGAGGATGCTTTTGTGTAAGTGCTGCAAACATCAGTGCTCCAGATTGGAAGGTGAAACAGAGAAAACCTCTATGTGGATGTACCCAAATTCATGTTTCGCTATTGGACTCATATGTATTGATTTAGCAAATTCCTTTGGCACACATGGGTTTTTGCCATTTCCTTCTTTCATGGGCACTGTGAGATAGGTTAGGCTGACAGATGACAACTGGTCCAAGATCAGCACCTCAGCTTTATGGCTTAGTGTCGATGTGAATTAAAACTTGCCAGTGAGAAATTGCTTAACTGAATTTGAAAAAAATTCAACATATTCCCTTTGGTGGTGACTGGATTTACGGGTTTTAGACAAAGTATAAAAACTTTGAATCTGGCAAGTCCTATTACTGTATCTATGCCTTAGAATGAAATCTCAATTCTTAAGAAGTGTCCTGCAGTTCTGCTTTTCAGAACCCAAAATATTCAGCATTCCAAAAGTAGTTGTAACTTTTGGAAAAAAGTCATACCATATTCCATTTGCCTGGTTCTGTAACTGTCTGAAGTTTCTTTTCAGTTCTGTCTTATGCAGATTCTAATTGGCATTTACGGATAATAAACAGGGCTTATAAACACGTGGTGCTGTCGTCTAACCTGCCAGCTTGTGATGTGCCAAGCTGAACACTGCCTATATGGTAGCCAGTCAGATGCTCGACAATCCTGTTTGTTTGTTTGTTTTTTTGCAGTCCTCATCAGGCAGCAAAATAGGATGTAGTCAAGACTCTGGTGGCCCATTTGTCTTTGAGGGTTACATATTGTGCTGGGCTGGGCTGTAGCTTGTAGCCAGAACTGTGAGAAATATTCCTGATAAATGCTGGCATCTTCCCTGACTAACTTCTGTGAAGGAGGTAAAAAGTGGGCCAGGCAACGAAATAAAATGGACAGTTCAGCCCAATTTTCCATTTCTTTCTTGTTTTCTTCCATTTCTCAAGTATGAGGCATTTCCTTTGTCCTTTTCGTGAGAAAAACAAGATACAATTCTAACCAAATTGCTGTTACTATTCATCTGTAACAATAATGCCTCATTTTCTCCTCCACCTACTAGAGCTTCAGCAACACACATTCGAGAGGCATCAAAGGTGGTCATGCATCATCTTTGGACTTTGAACTTCCTTACTTCTTGGAAGCGGCCCTGCAGAGCTCCTATGTGGCTCACTTAAAAAGGGGGTAGGTGGATACAACTTGTTGAACATTCCAAATGACCTAATGTGGGGTTACATAACAGGCTTGCAAGACTGACATAGGGGTCTGCTGCGTGAAAGCAAGTAGTAGACAAACTAGGTTCAAGGATCTTTGAACTATCGTGACATCACACATATAAAACTGCCAGTTTGCTTATTGATCCTTGGGGGGGGGGAGTCACTAAATTCCCTTTTGTGGTTTGTTTTATATGACTAGGAGGAAGTTTTGCTTTTGTTCTGTGCAATCAAGTTGAAAGTAGTGAGGTTTTTTACAGAATCTTGTAGCATTGTTTGTGTCCATTTATATGTATGTTCGCAACGCAGGAGTGCATAAGAAGAAGGCATGGATAGAGATACTGTCTTGGCTCAGGTGGGGTGTCACCTGACACTGCCACCACTCTGGATTTAGGTTCCCTTGAGAAGGGCCAGAGCACCCTCCCAAGACCTTCAGACCTCCTTTTAGGCCGAATAACAGGCGTGAGGACCAGGCAGAGTAAAACAAGGAAAAGGTTTATTTTATAGGAGGTCAAACAACAAGGTGCAGAATAATAGCAGTAAGTGGGTGAAAAGAAAAGAAATCAAATGCCCTAACGCGTCTAAATATACTGTCCCTAGCTCACTATCTCAAGTGGCCTTACACGACTCACCCCTCCCTCAGGATGAGGGTTTTTCCCCTGCAGCAGCCTTTCTTCTGGCTCTGCCCTCTGGAAGAAAGAACAACTCTTCCTGATTCACTCATGAATAAATACAGAGCTCCTAAAGCAGATTTCTTGTGAGACTTTCTGACAGAAAAAAAGATCAGGCAATTAAATCTTTTGTCATGACTTACTTTAGAGTTATAACATATTTCGTTTTCAACTAGGAGGAAGTTATGCTTTTGTACTGTGCAATCCGGTTAAAGTAGTGAGGTTTTTTACACAGTCTTGTAGCATTGTTTGTGTCCATTTATATGTATGTTTGCAACGCAGGAGTGCATAAGAAGGCATGGATAGAGATACAAAGAAAAGTAGGGAACCAGGAAGAGCAGCAGAAAACATCTGGAGATTGACAGACCTGCATAGCCACAGTGTTCGATTATAAGTAGGGTTGCCAGCTGCCTGGAGACAGAGAAATCTTCCTTTCATAAAGGCTTAATGGGATATTATTTACCAGGTGATATTACCATGAGATGGTGCCCATTTCCACACATTAAGCCTCTGTTAAAGGGCCAGGACCTTTTTCCTCCAGGCCAACTGGCAACCCGATTTGTAAGCGGTCTGTTCCTTTCATGAAAACTTTCTTAAGAGTAGGCAATATCAGAAACTCGTCAGTTTGGCCTGTTCTGCTTGGTACGTGCACCACCGCAAAGATCTGATAAATAATGTAAGGGCAAGAAAAAGGCAACAGAAAGTGTCTGGTGCTGAGACGGCCAACCGCTGGGGTTCTCAGCAGACTTACTTAATGACAATGCTCTTTATAAAGTTCTCCAGCAACAGTAATGCGGTCATGCTTAATTATTATTAACATACTTAGAGGCCCATTGGTTACTTTTAGTCTTCATCCATTTCTTCGGGACAGTTGCTCACAGGCACCGTCATTAACTATTAACCATGATGTGATTTGCTACCAAGGGAATTTCTGCCTATACAGGTGTTTTCTTTCAGGTGATGTTTCAGGGGCATGGCAGACATCCTGCAGGCATGTCCGTAATGCTAACATGTAGCAGTGCAAACTTCCTATAACGCGGGAGAGGGACTGGGAAAGGGACTGAGCTCCATTCCCAACCTGCACTCCCTTCTTCCAAACCACTTTGTCTCCACATTTTCCTTCTCCTAACAGGGATTACTTCAAGTCTCAGGGTCTCAAAAGCAGTTGGGAGAAGGTAGCTTGATTTTACGGTCAATCAAAACTTTTACCATCTCCAGCCCTGACCTGGATAGCCCAGGTGAGCCTGATCTCATCAGATCTCAGAAGCTGAGCAGGGTCGACTCTGGCAAGTTCTTGGATGGGAGACCTCCTTGGAATACCAGCAGTCGGGAGGCGGGGGCAGGCTTCATTCAGCCACCCCTCTGAATTTCCTCCAGGTCACCAGTAGGAGTCAGTCACCAGAGGTTGCCATGTCTTCCAGGTGCACACACACTCACACACATGTGCACACACATGCACATATTTTAAAAAACAAAAAAATATGTGTAACGTCTCCCACACATCTGCCCCTGCACCACTTTAAGGTCACAATTGCAACCCAATGTTATAGGAACTCTGTGGGAAGTGCATTCCAATACGTGGTTCCACGGTCACGTCCAAGTTTGTTCTAGGATAAACCTTCATTCAAGTTCATGACAAAGTATTTCTTCACCCAAAGAGTGATTAACACATGGAATTCAGTGCCACAGGAGGTGGTGGCAGCTACAAGCATGGGCGGCTTCAAGAGGGAATTAGATAAGCACAAGTGGAGCCCCGCAAGAAACTTGCGGGATGGTTATCCTATTCCTCACACCTTTGCTTCCTCCTGTCTCCGTCTACCTCTCTCACTCTCTTTCTCCCTCCCTCCCTCCCTCCCTTCCTCTCTCTATCTCTCTCTCTCTCTCCCCCCATGTATGGTTTGGAGGGTGAAGTCTATGACATTATACTGATCTGTAGTTCCTCCCCTCCTCAAATCCCACCCTCCCCAGGCTCCACCCCTCAAATGTCCAGGAATTTCCCAACCTGGAGTTGGCAACACAATTTCCTTCCCACCCAACAGCCAACCTACATTTATCTGCCTCTCTGTCTTCAGCTTTCCGTCTCCACATTCCGCCCCCACAGCCTCTGCCTAGAAAAATTACAGTCTTTCTCCACAATGGGGACCAAAGCAGCTTACATTATTCTCTCCTCTTTTTTATCTGCACAACAACCCTGTGAGGTTGGCTAGGCTGAAAGTATGTGACTGGTCCAAAATCACCCAGTCAGCTTCCACCACAAGATGGTGATCTGAACCTGGGTCTCGCAGACCCTAATCTGAAGCTGTAACTGATGCACCGCACCAGCTTTCATAGGGTGGCTGCTGATGAACAGTAGCAAGCAGCTGGGCCTACTTGAGTCATGCAAATCAGGTGGTATCAAGTCACCCAGAGGGTGCTGCCTAGGGATGCCAGCCTCCAGGTGGGACCTGGGGATGCCTGGAATTACTGCTCATCTCCAGACTACAGAGATAACTTCCCATGGAGAAAATGGATGCTTTGGAGGGTGGACTCTGTGGAATTGTACCTCAAGTTTAGCACTTTAATGATCCATTGAGTTTTGTGGTACAGTTAAGCATGTGTTTTACTCTGTCCTAGTGAAATTGGTAGCACTTACAAGTTGTTAACTTTGGTGAGGTTACACCCTGAGTTTTAATAGTGGCAGGGGGAGACAACAGTGAGAGAGGATGGGAAAGGGAGAGAAGGGGTAAGAAGGGGTATGATGAATGCAATTGCACAATTCAGCTTTTTTTAGTTGTGGGTGAGGAGTAAGGAATGAAGTCAAAAAGTTCACGGAATTAGAGGGTTTTGAGAAGGAAGAAAGAGAGGTGGCACCATACTAGTATTCTAGGAAGATTTTTTGCCAAGAGAGAATGGTTGGAGTCAGCAAAGGAGGTGATAGAAGAGTGAAAGTCACAAACTCCCCGTACATTCCCCCCAAGAGCACTGCGATCGGGGAACTTCCATCGCCTGGAGGTTCCAGGCCCCCGGGAAGTGAAGTTGGCCCAAACCAGGGCTAGGGCGTTCTCGGTGGCAGCTCCCACCTGGTGGAATGAGCTCCCGGAGGAGATCTGGGCCCTGCGGGACCTAGTGCAGTTCCGCAGGGCCTGCAAGACGGAGCTCTTCCGCCAGGCCTTTGAGGGAGAGCCGCCGCCGCCACTATTCCACCAATGATATTCCAACCATCTACCCCATATAGTAGGGGTAGATGTCGCCCAATAGAGCTGGGGAAACATTCTTCCTGGCGCTCCCACTGTGAAGAACTTGGCCGCCAGTGTGGGATGTCGTCCATCTTGGATTTTATGTAAATTATCAGAGCACCAAATTTTATGTCAAGATATAGTGTTTTTATTATGCTGTTGTTTGTATGCATATTTTAACTTCGGCATGGCTGTCTGTTAGCCGCCCCGAGCTGAATACTGGATGGGGCGGGATACAAATCCCAAAAATAAATAAATAAATAAATAAACAAACAAACAGAATGGGTTATATTTTTCATATTGCTTATAGAGGACATAGATTTCCTCAGCTTCTTCAAAGTCTCCCCCTTTGAAAAAGGCAATCAAAACCATCCTCTTCAGTTTCATGACACAGTTGGCCCATCTGCAACATAACTAACTTTTCAGTATAATGTGTAGCTGGATCCTATGCAGGGCTATTTTTGGGCAGGAACGCACAGGAACGGAGTTCTGACTGGCTCTCGAGTTGGCATAATAAGCCACATTAGCATAATAAGCCACACCCAACAGCAGAAACTCATTAGGATTTGGTTACATTAGGGGTGTGTGGCATAACATGCAAAGGATTTCCTGCTACAAAAAAAGCCCTGGGTTTTGACAACAAACAAGGTAAACAGAATAAGAAGCAAAAGGTGGGTGTGGCTGGATGACCACACTTCTGGTAACATGGGGGTGCGGCCTAATGTGCTAATGAGCTGTGCTGTCAGGGGTGTGGCCTAATAGGCTAATGAGTTTCTGCTGTTGGGTGTGGCCTATTATGCTAATGAGTTCCTGCTGGGCTTTTTCTACAAAAAAGAGCTCTGATCCTATATATGCATATTCAGAAGATCCCATTGTATTCAACTGTGGGCATGGGGTGAAGCCCTAGTCTTCTTAATTCTTGTAAGAAATGTCACCTCGGGACCCTGAATGAGAAGAAACACAACACTGTTCCCAGTTATACCAATGTAAATTTTTTCTTCTAGTTTTGTTTGGTTTTCGTTACTAAAGACAGTGTATAAGAAATAGGGTGACTTGAACTTTTTACTTTATCTGCCACAAGAGGGCAGAAGTAGAACTCTTAATAAACTATATACCTAAAATTGTTAAATGGGGAATAGTTTTCTTCATCATGATCATCAGTATATGAAAGGAACTTTTTCTATTTAGAACTCTTTTGCATCTCAAGAGAACCCAAGCATCATTTCTCTGAGCCCCGTGCAAGTTTGTTTCACGTTCTCCATCAACCATAAATGATACCATTTCTCTGTGGCAACCCATAGCGGTGGAAACTGTCTTCCAGAAGTGGTGTGGAAAGCTCCATCCCTTCTGGCTTTTCATAAGTGGTGCAAAACATTTTTTTTCCATGTGGCATTTGGGTAACCTGCAGCAGTTCTCTTTTGTCAATAGTAGCTCTTAGGCCTGTGTTGACATGTATTGAATTGTCTTACCTTTCATATCCATTTTTATTGATTGTCTGTTGAATATGTTATGGATTTTGTAAACCGCTTTGGGGAAAGCAATATAATAAATTTTAAAATAAGTAAAATTGATAGATACAATCTTGTGAGCCATGACAGGAAAATTATGTGTTAAAATGATATAAATAGGCAATATCATGGCTTTTAGCCAGGATCCTCTGGGATGTGGTAAAATGTGTCCTTCCCACTCACATGGTTGGTTCTGTGTATTAACAGTGGAATGTAAAAGTCTTAAAGCTGATGTACTGCTAACATAGAGGAATTTGTTACAAACCATGATGTAATTTCCAGGTCACGCGCAAAAATGCTGTGGGATTACATATTTTAATTCTGGCTAGGGTTGGATTTGGATGTATACTAAAAAGAGGCCTGCAACACCACAAACACTTTTTAACATATATATGATTGTAGCATACAACTTAATCCAATGTTTTAGGAAGGGGAACAAGATTGGGGGGGGGGGAACTCTCAGCAAGGTTCCAAGGCCTGTGTTTTAAACATTTTCTAGGTTAAACTTCCAAAAAGCAGTGTTGCTATGACAGTATTTGTCAGAGTTACTTTTTTGTACCTTGTGATAACCAGTTAGGGTTGCCAACCCCCCCGGTTTGCCAGGGGTCCCCCGTTTGGGGGGGTTCTACGCGCCCCCAACACCCACAGCCACCCCTCTCCCTTCTCTCTTGAGAGAGAGGGGTGGCTGCCTTTAAGTGCGTGGAACCCGTGTTTCCTCCCAAGCCTGATCTCTGCTTGAGATCAGGCTTGCAGGGAAATGCCAGCTTCGTGCACTTAAAAGGGAAATGCGGCTTTTTGCTCTTAAAGGGGAAACGCTGGCTCCTGCACTTAACAGGGAAATGCCGGCTCCTTTAAGTGCAGGGAACTGGCGTTTCTGGAGATCCGGCGCACGGGGGGGGGGGGGGGGGGACGTCCCCAACGTGATGTCATCACGTCGGGGATGCCCCACCCCCTCGAGGAACGCCCCCAAAGTCCCCTGCTGGGGGTGGAAGATGGACTTGGCAACCCTATAACCAGTGTTACTGTTCCCCCAACAATGCTATATATGGTCTAAATCCTGTCTACCTTAAATGAGTGTTTCTGTGGTATATATGGTAGATGTTTAAGATTAGGTAGTTAAAGAAGTAGTTGTGGACCTGATTTAAATGTGATGTTAGCAAGGCACATGCACACATCCAGCCCACCAGTCTCGGGTTTGAGATGAACCTCAGTTGCTGCTAGCAAGCCAGAAGGATCTTCCTCACTTCCTCTCTCATTTGGCATGGCTGCTCACATCTCTTACACCATACATACATGTGGCAAGTAGATGCCATTGGCCATAGATCCCTGGCATCTGTACAGTGTGTTTACTTGAAATGAAAGAGATGTGTGAAGCTGCTTCAGATATGTCTGTGCCATTTGTTTTTGGTATAATATGCAAAGGCACTTAGAGACGATGCAATCATTTGATGAAGCAAAGTCTATGTAAAAATAGGATCATTGGAAACCTTCCAAATGTCCCCTGTGTTCATCAGAGATCTTCTCATAGGGCACCGTCTGGAACAAAGCTCCTGAGAATCTGTCTTTCAAAGGTCTCATTGACTTGCTTCACTGTCATTAGCCCAACTTGAGCGCATCATTATCATTCACCCAATTTGATTATAATTAGTATTTTATATGTCAGAGATTTTCTTTTTCCTTCCTTCCTTCCTGCCTCCCTTCCTTATTCAGAGTTCCCCATCAAATCAATCTTGCCTTTACGTATCTTGCCTTTCCCTTTCCCTTAGCAACATCGTGAAGGGAATGAGAGACCTCCGAGATTTATTAAGGACCACGGAAACAAAAGCTACTCAGAGCTTCAGAATGGTAAGGCTGATCGGGAAATGTCATGGCCATTCTTTTGGGAGATGGTAAGAAAACAATTGTATCTGGGTATTATTAATTTTTTTTGCACAGATATATCCTTTTTTAAAAAAAAAATCCTTGCCATGGATTGTGAGTGTGGCCTCAAATCTGATTTGAGCAGAAAAAAATAAATCTGTTTTGTAGTTCTGAATTAGATTACTGATTAACAGGGAATCAAATAGAATTTGATGCAGGCGAATGCCAGATGTACAGGGTTTTTTCCATATGAGAATAGTTTTCAAACTGAGAGATGAAATATATTTATTACTGGCTCCTCTTAGCCTCATGTAAAACTTGCTTTCTTTGGGTTTAAGATTGTCTTGCTGTGATAGATATATAGATCTATGTGTAGGTTGTGATTCTGTAGAGCCACAGAATAATAAATGATAATAAATGTTGGGATGAGATAGACTATGAAAGGAGTGGGAGAGGTTGTAAACCATTTTTCAAGAGCGCTTCTTCCTCCTCCTGGATATATTTTGTATCAGACCCAAACCTCATCTGAAATGGATCCAGTTTGGCTTAGAGATTCCATACCCCACTTCCCCTCTTTTTCCCCAAACCCTTTCTGATAAGGTTTGTACAGCCAGAACAAATGGTATAAATCAGTAAAAACGTGAGAATAAATTATGAAAAGCACGTATCAAGAATTCACCTTTTCTTGATGAAGAATTTTGTATAGAATGAGAAGTCCCCAGTTCAGTCCCTGGTACCTCCAGCCAAGCAGCAAGTGCTAAGGAAGACCTATCTCTGCCGGTGACCCTTGCTGCCAGTCAGGTAGGCAACACTGAGCAAGATGGGCCAGAGTCTGCTTTGCTCCACCTGCTTTGCTCCATCCCCAGCTTCAGTAATGCATGTGTGGTGGGAATATGGAAAAGCGGGCGGAGCAGTAGACTTGAGGAGAGGTAAGGTGCAAGAGGTGAACAGTGCTGGATGGTTCTTTTACTCTTAAAAGAAGCCTCACTCTACCCACTTTATATGTGAACAGGGTAGACGCCATTGGCACATCTAGTTTGGCCCTAGTGAATTAAACTGGAAAAAATGCTGGTCCCACTTCCCACCTCCACATGATCTCCAGCTCATCTGCATGGTGCCTAAGCACAGAGAATGTGTCTGCATATACACTCCCTCTGCATATATACTCATGAACACTACTTTCCAAATGTTGTCAATCACAGGGATGGAGTGTATGTATGGGCACTTCCTCTGTGCATAGGGACTGCACTGACGAGCTGGCAGTCATGGGGAAGTGAGACGGGGCCAGCAGGTTGATGCTTGTTTTTCCTCTCTCTGCATTCAGTCAGTTTGTAGAGGGAGGGGTCATGTATATAGGGCTAATACTAACTGATACACCGGTAATCTGACTTAGTAGCCCTATTCACATGTTACAGTGAGTGCACATACATCTTGCATGTACATGCACACATCTGTTTGTAAGAAAGAGCCAATACGTGTTTACTTTACAGATGCAACTACCTATCAGTATCTGAATAAATGTGGAGTTTAAATCACACATTCATCTGTTTCTATGTTGAATGTAGCTAAGGAATTACTCAGTGCATGCATATGGCCAGGGACCAGCCTACCTAAGGGACCGCCTTACCCCACATGTTCCCCAAGGGCACTACGGTCAGGGAGCCGGAACCTATTGGAGGTACCGGGCCCCCGGTCCATCAAATTAACCATGACCAAAAATATGGCATTTTCGGTGGCGGCTCCTATCTGGTGGAACGAGCTCCCAGAGGAGATCAGGGCTCTGCGGGACCTGGGACAGTTCCGCAGAGCCTGCAAGACGGAGCTCTTCCGCCAGGCTTTCGAATAGGAGCCGCCACCACCACTAGACCACCAATGCGTCAGTATACCATCGACGCCCGGGAGGACATCTGGATACGGGCATGGATTGCCAAAGCCCTAAATACTTTCTTTGCATTATGGGCAAGATTGGGACGTTTAGAGGACCGCCATCTTGGTTTTAGCTAGTCTTGGTTTTAGCTAGTCTTGGTTTTAGCCAGTTTTGTTTTAGTTAGGTTATAAGTTATGATGTAATTTTAATATTTTGTATTGTCTTACTGTTTTATTGGGTTATTAATTATATGTTGTTAGCCGCCCTGAGCCTCCAGGGTAGGGCGGGGTATAAATATAAATAATAAATAAATAATAAATAATGTACACTGTACATAAATAGCTTTGTGTGTTCTTTTTCTAGGGAGTCAATCTTTGTCTCCCCCCTCTCTCTCAAAGAGTGATCTTATCAAAGTATATGCTCTCTTCATTATGTATGTCACTGCTTTACAATGAATATTTCTTGTTGTCTACCTTGGCTGTGAGTATATTTTTTCATGATATACTTTGGTTCCTGTCCGCCACCCCCCCCCAAGTATTATATTATTTGGAACAGGAAAAACAAGTACTTAGAAAATTGTGGGCATGCCTTGCAAATCTAATAGTCTGTAAACTTATTCTCTTTCAAACTAGCAGTTATTGTCATTTTTATTGTATGAGCTGTAACAATGACATATGATAAAACTAACTGGTAAACAATAAAGCACGCCTCACAGGTTACAAAGTATAATAACATTAAACTGATGCCAGATCTGTTCTGTATTATAAAACTGCTAGAGCACAGACAGAACTGGTTTTAATAAAATTGTCCTGAATCTTAACATCTATTTGGGAAAGGAGTTAGGACACCTTAAAGTCCATCTTAAAGGTGGACTCTATGGCATTGTACCCCACTGAGGTCCCTGTCCTCCCCAGGCTCCACCCCCAAATCTCCAGGTGTTTCCCAGCCTGGAGCAGGCAACCTTACCCCTGTCCTCCACAGGTGACCAGGGAGGACCTGGAAACCCTAATATCAGGAGAGGTGTAAACACTTCTCTCACCTGCTACTTTCTCCCTCCTGGCTCCTCTCGTCCTTTAGCTACTTCCCGTCCACCGAAATTTTGCACTGGAAACCTAGGTCTGGATGGAATCTGTTGAAGGGGAAGGGTTAAGTGCCTTCTGCCTACAGTTTCTCTGTACCAAGATCCATGTCCTCCCAAATGCCCTGAAGCATATTGTTTAGACCAGACAGCTAGACTTGCAAACCCATGCAATATTAGCACGCCAGCACAATAGCACACATCCAGATTATGAATCTCTGGCAGTCCATGAGAGCCCTTGTCTAGTAGAGACTGGGCATATGCAAAGCCCATCTGTTCTCTTTGATAATGTGGGTGCATTGCTTCTTTAACATTCTGCTTAAATGCTAAGTTGGTCAAGTTATACCTTTACTTCTCCAATGCTAGAAATATTATTTCTGCATCTAATATATGCATTTATCAGCTGCTTTTCAACTTAACAAAAAAGCTCCAAAAGCAACTTATAAAAAAGAAAACATTTTAGTTAACATCACCAGTGGGTATAATGGCTGGCTGTGAAATGGTCTGCAAGGCTAGGCATCTGAAAGATGGTAGAGTTCAGGGAGCCACTTGCAGTCTTGTCAAAAGGCTAGTGTAATGGACTGCACTTTAAAATCTTATAACTGTTGTGTAAACAGGTAATGGACTGTGAAGGATTAATTCCTCACAGAGCTAGAGAACCTTGAGTGACATACTGCTCCAAGAAATCTGATTGGTTAGTATCAGTTGAACAGAGAAAGTCTTGAGAGCTGAGTGCTCAGGGGAAGGGAATCTGAATTCAGCCCTGACTGCAAAGAGTCTAGTACTGATGAGTCTGGGTCTAGCCCTTACTGAGAAGGGTGCCTAGCCCTGACTGAGAGCAGTTTAACACAGACAGAGGGCTGGCAGATGGAGTGGGTAGTTAGGTGGAGACTCCCATTCAGGCCAGAAAAGGGAATATATCTTCTAGTTTGGGTACTGGACAGAGTATCCCTTCCTTCTGGAAACCAAAAGAGCCAAATACACTCAAGAAATTATACTGGAGTGTTTGGGAAACACTGAAACAAATGTCTCTCACTTTAAATATTCTAAGTCAGGGGTGTCAAACATTTAGCCTGGGGGCTGGATCAGGCCCCCAGAAGGCTTCTCTCAGGCCCACAGTGGAAATGGCTGTCTCCTGCTTCTTCTTATTTATTTATTTATTATTTAGATTTCTATCCCGCCCTCCCCGCAGGCTCAGGGCGGCTAACAGGGCATAATGCCAGATAAAACAATAAAACAGTATAAAATGTTAAATTACACATAGACAATTAACAAACAGTTAAATAGCATCCTAAAACAATTTTGGTGCTCCTCTATTCGATTCCAGATGTTAAGATTTTTAAAAGCAAGATGGCGTTCTCAGTAGTATAGCTAGACAACTATGGCAGTGCATATCCCACTGCCCTACCGTCCCCTAAAAGACGTCCCGTTCCCTCCAATGATGCCCACATCAAGATGGCAATATGCGGAAATCATAGGGCGTTGGTGGAACAGTGATGGTGGCGGCTCCTATTCAAAAGCCTGGCGGAAGAGCTCCATCTTGCAGGCCCTGCGGAACTGTACTAGGTCCCGCGGAGCCCGGATATCCTCTGGGAGCTCATTCCACCAGATAGGAGCCGCCACCGAAAACGCCCTAGCCCTGGTCATTGCAAGTTTGGTGGTCCTGGGGCCTGGAACATCCAGGACATTTAAATTCCCCGACCAGAGTGCCCTTGGGGGAACATGTGGGGAAAGGCTTGTCTCTGGTCTTCCAGTTCTGCCACTGCTGCGTCATCCTAGTTTGCTTTGCCAGACTCTCTCAATCAATCGGGAGAGATAGATAGGCAAGCGTTTGTTCCCTGCACTGGCTGAGGCTCCTCCCCCTCCCCCTTCCAGGGGGAGGGAGGGAACAAGCCAGAGCTTTCTTCCTGGCCAGGTTGCCTCAGTTGCAGAGGAGAGAAAGGCAACCCTTTCTTCCCTTCCATTGCCTGAGGCTCCTCCCCGAAGGGAGGGAGGGAAGGAGGGAGAGCTTGCTTTGCTTGGCTGCCTCAGTCACATGGGAGAAATACAAAGCACCTTTAAGACCAACAATTTTTTTCCATGGTATGAGCTTTTGTGTGCCTTACCACAGTGTGTGTGTGTTTTGTTGGGCTTGTTATGCTGTGGCTCCTCTGGGTGCAACTGGATTCCCTCCCCCTTTTCACTGTATTCATGCCCTCATGATCCAATCTTGCTCAGCAGGCAAGCAATGTGAATTATTTAGATGAGGAATAACAACAACCCAGTGAGGTGGATTAGGTTGAGAGTGTGTGTCCAGACCAAGTTTACCCAGCACATTTCCTCTGGGGATTTTGAACTTAGACTTCCCAGATAGTAGGCTGATACTGACCACTGAGGAAGACTATAGTTTTGTAGACAAACACATAGCCTTCAGTCTGTGTCATGATGCCTTCTTATGTTCTTGAACAGCACACAAAGCAATTTATGTACAAAAGCTTGTAATGCCCAGCCATTTCATGTTTTCCCCTGGGCCCTAGGCTCAGAACTTTGAGCATGAGATTTCTGTAGTGAATGTCAGTAAATCAAAAGTAGGTTTGCAGCTTACAGATACACACTTGAACAGCATATTCAGGATTGCTACAGCACAGACATTTTGATGCAATAATTCAGAGCAAGAGGTGTCAGCTTTCAGAGACTGTTAAATAAAATATTCCAAGAGTGCTAATGCTTTAAGCATGTTTTTATTTTAAGTAAAAAAAAAAATCTTTGTGTTTGTGTCCTTTAGAAAGATTATATCTCCACTACCTGGCATTACATTGTTATGACACACATGGCCCAGCCAACAAGGTCTCATTTATGTCAGATCTGGCCCTCATAACAAATGAGTTTGACACCCCTGATCTAAGTCACTGTGAAAAGCTTAAGAAACTTTCAATTGCTCAAAACATATGAACTGTAATCTGTGCCTATATTGATTTACCTCAGAAATTTTACCCCTGATTTCACCTGACCTTTCCCCTCTACATTGAATAAAATATTTTGTTATTTTTGAACTTTAAAAAGCCTCAAGTGCCATTTCAATGGTTTAAGTTAAAGGGGGAATCTCGACCTTCCCGTAGGTTCCTGGGCTGAGCCAGCAGCAAAATTTTATACTGTGGCAGGGTGGTACAGCCATAGTTCTTCAGAAAAGCTGAAAATTGATACATAGGGCTGCTCAGTTAGAAAGGGAGAGAAAAATGGAGGGGAAATCTTGCCTCTGAGGGAGGGGAAGTGAGCTAGGTCGTTATAGAGCTAGAGGAGATTACTGTAAACAACAAGAGAAGAATAAATGTAGGGGCTATGCCTCAGTGGTTGAAATTTGCTCTGTATGAAGAAGGTTCCAGGTTTAATCCCCAGCATCTCCATCTAAATGGGTCAGGAAGGAGGTGATGTGAAAAACCTCTATTTGCTATGAACAGAAATATAAAGAGACAGGAGATCCAATCATAAATCTACAAGATCTTGTCTAGTTTTTTCCTCCTTAGTAAGTACTGTCTATACAGCTGGCTGTGCATGGGATGCTTGAACAAGAACCATAGCCAGAGAGAAGCCTCAACGTGCTTCTGTGACAACAGTTAAAGCAGGCATATGTGGGAACTGTGCTCAAATTAAAGAAAGCAACTCTACGCATCTGCAGTGTATCATGTATTGCAGTGACTCATGGTGTCAAATGGAATTCTTAATCATGATGGCAAAAGTGCCTTTCTGGGCTTAGTAAATGTGTTGTCCCCCCCCCTTTTTTTTCTTAGGCAGCTGCCAAACAACTGGCAGAACTTCTCCTCCATTCATTGAGTGAAGATTGTTACTGGAGCCCTTTGTCTGATCCTCTCCCCGAGTTAATGAACAAAGAAGATAACTCTTACATTTGCACTACTCTACGCAGAAGACTGCAGCTACACACTGGAGATAAGTGCGTATGGTCCCTTCTTTTAGCCATTAACTCCCAGAGGCCCCCTCATCTAGCCAAGATATCAATATGTATGCTATCTAACATCAGTTGATTGCATGTCACCATCAAGTCTTCCCGCTTCAGTCACTGATTGAACTGCTAAGATGTCATGGAATCTTCAGAATATTTATTTATTTGATATATTTATATATCACCTTTCTGTCAGTTGTTCACAATTCAAAACAACTATAAGAGTGCATCTACTCATGTATAGACTCCAAACTTGAGATCAGTAAGAAAGGCCCTGCTTCAGGTTCTATTCATGCAGAGACAATTAAGAAATTAATGAAACTCATTACTGAAGGGTAATATTCCCTCCTGCCCTGGCCTGGAAGGCCCAGGTTAGCCCAGTCTAGTCAGATTTTGGAAGCTAAGCAGGGTCATCCCTGGTTAGTACTTGGATGGGAGACTACCAAGGACATCCGGGGTCACTATGCGGAGGCAGGCAATGGCAAACCACCTTGGTTCATCTCTTGTCTTGAAAACCCCGTGGGATTGCCATACATTGACTGCCACTTGACAGCATTTTCCACCACCAATACTACCTCACAAATTCTTGACATCCTAGGCCGCGGTCACATGGGCCAGATAACGTGGGGGGGAGGCGTGGCTATTCGCCCCGGAGCAAAATAAAGCGTGGTAGCCTGATCACACGGTCCCCCGAGTCTCTGTGCTTAGGCTGCTAGCTGCTGATCACATGGTGATGCTGCAGCGTGGCAAAGAAGCAGCGCAGCGTGATCACACAAACAGCGACCGCAAGCCACCGCTTCCGGAGCAGACAGACAATTTCCCCCCAATGTAGTCCTTGCATGCACATGATCACGGAAGCAGATTTGTGGAGCACTGGGTGCATGCGCAGTTCCACGGAGCAGCACTGCTTTCAGTTTCGTGTTTGTGCACATGCACAGGTCGACGTTTGTGCGCATCCGGTGGAGACTTACAAAAAAAATCCAGTTTGCAACAGGATGTGGACGGGCGCCATATGCCACGGGATACTAGCGCTCCCGTGATCAGACGCCCACCCCTGTCCCGCGTTTTCCGGATACTAGTGCACTTTCTGAGGTACTTTTTAACTCCGCATCTTCGGCGGGACGCCATGGGTTGGCCACGGGTGCGCTACGCTTCCCAGATGTTGCGGTGTGATCGCGCCCTGAAAATCCGCCTGACATTCGTGCCTTTCGCGTGGCAAATTCTCTGTGTGACCGGGACCCTAGTATAACTATTAGACAAGTTTCGCCAAGGGGGAAAGCCCTCATACTGGAAACGAAAGGCTGCATGTTATTTGTGACATTTAAGAGCAGAGAGAGGTTAGAGTCTAAAGGGGCTGGGAAGACAAATAACTGAACAGGATGCTGGATTTCAGATACTGAGTCAAAATTATACCTAGATTTTTGGCTGTGTGTCATTGTTGGTCCACATAATCTGCTTTTTTATTTTTGCTTTTTAAATAAAAAATCACACTGTTAAAACCTCACTCTGCCTGTGAAAGTTTTTCATGCCATTTTGCCAAGGGGAGAAATGGGCCAGATAGTCTGGGTCAAAGCATCATCAGCTGCCATACTTTTCAGAGCTATGTTCCCTCACAAGAGACACGTCACAGCTTTTAATCATCCAGTTCTGAAAAAAAGCTATTGTATAACAAATAAATCATGCATGAGTTGTTTCAAGTTACTAGTCCTGTGATGGTGTTAACAAGAGTGCCCTATGAGCTAATTCCCCATCTTTCTTATTCGTGTCTTTAGTTGGGTTTGGTTTTTGTTTTGGGGCGTGTTTTTTTGGTGAAAAAACTACTACTATACCATGTTTGTCTTTCAGCCTGTACAGCCCTAAAGACAACGTAGAAGAGGCCCTCCTCCTACTCCTGATCAGTGAGTCCATGGTAAGCCAAACAACAATTGTTTTAAAGAACAATAATAATTAAAACAATTACTTACAGCGATTGGGATTATACCAGATATGTGCATGACAAGATTTATTTGTTGTTGGTTTTGTGAATTGAAAATGGACTTTTTGCTTACAAAACCTTGCCTGTACAGCTGAAAATAAAGCAGTTTTTTTTTTAATGCAGACAGAGAGCGAGAGTGAGCTGTTACTTTTCTGAGGCATCCCTGTATGACTATCAATTAACAGTCTGAGGAATTTGTCTGGGCAACAAAAAACCCTCTACATTGACTTAACAGTGGATTTCCCCAGATGTTCACTTTAGAGTGCCATCCTAATCAGCATTACACCCTTTTACAGTCATTGAAGTCAGTGGTCTTAGAAGGGTATAGCTGTGCTTAGGAGTGCATTGCAAATCACTAAAAATCAGGTGCCAGCATGGGAGGGTGCAGAAAATGAATTGTTTGGAACACTTTTGGATCATTCTTAATTGTCAGGTTGATATTCAGGTGACTTATTAGTTATTCAATCAATGCAAAAGGTGGCCTTTACCACAGAAAGCTTATTTGCTGCTGTCATATAATTCTAAGTTGAATCTTTCCTTGAGGGGAAAAAAATCAATGTAATCTAACTTCTGTCATAAAGGTAAAATGTTACAAACTATTAATTCAGGATTATGAACATATATACTTAGTTTACTAAAACTTATTGAACACTTTTCACTACCTTCCAAAATAGCATAAGGAATAAAGCAAATAATAATAAAACAATATTGAAGATCTCATGACAGCAGCATTTATAAAAGGACTAATAATCAGGTCCTTAAAATTTTTCAGTTAAAAGGCTATTGTGAATAAAAATATTTTATCTTTTTTCATAATAGTTTGAGGGAGGAGCTAGAGAAATCTCCAGGGGAAAGCTATTTCACAGTTCTGGAGCCACCACCAAAAAAGCCCTTCTTCACACAAGCAGGACTCATAGATCTCAAAAGCTCAGCAGGATTCATATGGGAAGAGGCTCTCTCTAAGATGCTCCTTGATTAAAGTGCTCAGTGGTCACTCATTCAGGCACCAAATAGCATTGGATGCTTCCAGTCTACTGATGTAATCACCCCTCCTCTTTTTAATGCACAGAGTCAGTCAGGTTGTATTTTTATTAAATGGAACAACTGCAGATGCAACAGGGGTACATAAGAATTCTGCTGAAAAGCAGTACATTCTTATAGTTATTGAAACATTTAAGAAAAGAATTAGACAAAATCAGGAAGAGGAGGGAGGTGGACATCCTTGGAAATACCTCTGCAGAGGAATCCGGCCCACTAGAGACCAGAAAGCAAGGGCTATATATTTTGGGCACTGCCAACAGACTCAAAGAAACAGTCTGACTCACAGTCAGCCCCTGTTCCTGGTGGGAGGGAAACTGGCATTGTTTTCAGTAAACTGGAAGGACTTTTCCAGGAACAGATGGGTTCTTGAGCCAGTTACCAAGGCCTGCATGATAGAATTTGCTGGCACACCCAGAATCAGCTGTATATTTTCAGCAGCCCAAGGCACAAAATTAAGAAGCATCTTATTAAAAACAATGTAATGAGTTATCTTCTGCAGCTTAGAGCCATCAAGAAAGTTCCAGAAGACCTTAACTGAATGGGCATGTACTCTGTTGTGGGTTTTTTGGTTTAGTTTTGCTTTTGGTCTGAAAGAAAGATGAAGGTTCAAGACTTATCCTTGATCTGAACAGAGTCTTAAGAGATTTGTCACTTTTTTACATAGAAAGCATCTCTTCGACTGTAGCAGGGTCTTTTTGTGAGCCAGTTTGGTGTAGTGCTTAAGTGCACGGACTCTAATCTGGGAGAACTGGGTTTGATTCCCCAATCCTCCACTTGCAGCTGCTGGATGACCTTGGGCAAGCCATAGTTCTGTCAGAGCTGTTCTCTCAAGGACAGCTCTAGAAAGTGCTCTCTCAGCCCCACCTACCTCACAGGGTGTCTGTTGTGGGGAGGGGAAGGGAAAGGAGTTTGTAAGCCGCTCTGAGACTCCCTTGGGTAGTGAAGGGTGGGGTATAAATCCAATCTCCTCCTCCTCCTCCTGCTCCTTCCTGAATGATCCATATTTTCATTATGCCCACATGACAGTAGCATCAAAGGTATCTCAAATTTTACTTCAATGGGCAATGTTATTAACTTTTGTTTTAGATTTGGCCCTATAGCTTCCTTTCTGCAAACAGAGTCGGGGTGCTCATCATCCTCCAGTCCTGCAATATGATAGTGGTTACATATGTCAACAAGCAGTTCAACTAACACAGACTACAGGGGGTAGGCCGAGACAAGCAGTATGTCGTGGCAAGCAGTCATTCTGTATTGCATTGCATTGTAGGAATCAAAAGCATGGGAAGAACAGCCAGGAGAGTGACTGGCTCAAGCAGCAGGCAGTAAATACAAATACAAACAAATGACCTTTCAATATCATGTTGAAACGTCAGTATACAGACCTAAAGGGAAACTGGAAATAAGCACAGGTATCCTCCCTCACAATAGTACCAACTTCAGTTCTACTTCCTCACAGGTCCAGCATGACGTAGGAAAATCCGTGTTTCATAAGCAGGGAGAAGAAAAAATAGATTTGAAACACACTATGCAGTATAGGACAGGGTTTTGGTGGTGGAGAAATGTTAAAGTATGTGCAACTTTATTGCTCACATTCCTCCCTCCCTCCTCTCCCTCTTGTTTTGCCCCATGGTCTATTTTAGACTGCAGACTCCTGGGGGGATAGGAGGAACTTGTCTGTTTTTCTCGTATGTAGTTCATCATGAACACTGATGGGTACTGTATAAATGATACACAATAATAATAATACTCCATTAATAATAATAATCCATTTAACAATAAACCACTGCCAGATTTCAGTGGTTATTATGGATGCAAAAAAGCACTTACACAGGAGGGGTGCCCATCTCTGGGTCTGTTTTAATAACCTTTCCCTTGAGTCTTTTTTATTCTGCAGTTGTTCTTCATTTTACTAAGAGAGCTTTCTCAGACCTAGGAATGGAACATTTCCCCCCTGTGTTTATTTTGAAATGCTCTTATTTACATTTTGGAAATCTATTCCCCTCTTAGTTTTGGTAGCTCAAAGTACATTGCAAATGCCAATAAATCAAATCCTATTCAATGTCTGCCTTTAAAAAAATAATGGCAAGAAAATGGCATCTTGTTGGCAGGTTCTGAATCAACATAATATACCACAAGTGGTTCAGGGTAATCTGGATGAGTTTGGCTAACTTTTCTGTGCTGAACTGGAAACTAGGATGCCTGCAGCCAAGACTAATAAACATTGTGTCCAATGCAACAGAGACTAGAAATAATTCATCACAGCCTTTTTATTGAGTCAAGAGATTAGATGGGATTTAATCTTGTAAAGGCTGAGGAGAAAAAAGAGGACAGGAGATGCTGGAATCAAAACTGGGAGCATTTTCTGGCTTCTGTGGTTCTATTAACCCAGATTAGTTGTGGAGAATTTGTTCTGTCCCAAAAAAAGAATATGTGGTTTTTTTTATTTATTGTGTTTATTAATTTTTTTCCATCTGAAAGCAAATAGCAGCAAAGTTTAAAACAGCTAAACTAGCATAAATTTTGTCTTACTTACTTAACTGATTTATGTTGTTTTAGTTGTTTGAAGCCTCAATTTTGTCTTACTTACTTAACTGATTTATGTTATTTTAGTTGTTTGAAGCCTCGCTGTTATTTACAAGGTACTATACTATAAAAATAGGGCTGCGGTGGCTCAGAGGTTAAGACGCTGAAGCTGCAGACCGGAAGGTCTGTAGTTTGCCAGTTTGAGACCCGAGTGCCACATGACGGAGTGAGCTCCTGTCTCTGGCCCCAGCTCCTGCCAACCTTGCAGTTCAAAAGCAAGAAATTGTGAGTAGATAAATACGCTTCGGTGGGAAAGTAACAGCATTCCGTGCACCTCCACGTTTAGTCATGCTGGCCACATGACCACAGAAAAGTCTTTGGACAGCACTGGCTCTTCGGCTTGGAAACGGAGATGAGCACTGCACCCAGAGCCGGATTCGACTAGCTTTCAAGCAAGGGAAACCTTTACCTTCACACTACAAAAGTAATTAATTGGCAGTGGTGTCCCCTTCTTTTCCATTCAAGTCAACACTGCTTAGAATGGCATTGTAAGTAAAGCTCTGCTGGATCAGACCAAAGGCCACCCTAGTTCAGTACTGTGTTTTCCCCAGTCATCAACTAGACCAGAGAGGAGGATAGAAAAACATCTATAATTAACAGCTAGTTTCGAGTCCAGCAGCACCTTAGGGACCACATCTGACAGAGGGTGCTTTGACCCACGAAAACTATATACTTGTTGGACTCTAAGGTGCTACTAGAATCATAGAATCACAGAGTTGGAAGGGGCCGTCTAGTCCAACCCCCTGTTCAATGCAGGATCAGCCTACAGTGGCCCTGACAATGTTTGTCCAGCCGCTGCTTAATGACTGCCAGTGAGGGGGAGCTGATTGCACAACACTTGCTGTAAAAAAGTTTTCCCTAATAATCCAGCTGGTACCTTCCCACCCCTAATTTAAACCCATTATTGCGTGTCCTATCTTCTGCTCCCTGCCCTCCTCTAAGTGACAGCCCTTCAAATACTTAAAGAGAGCAATCATGTCCCCCCTCAACCTCCTCTTCTCCAGACTGAACATTCCCAAGACCCTCAGCCTTTCCTCACAGGGCCTGGTCTCAACACAGACTCAACACAGCTACCCTCTGAAACATTTATAATGAGTAACTGACAAATGAAAATCCAGGGTGAAATTTATCGATTTATTTAAAATGTTTATATACTTACCTTTTTGCCAAGCATCCCAGGACCCAAGGTGTACAAGAACATAAAAATAATGGGATAAAACAATAATAATCTGAACAACAAATATAAAATACTTTAAAACTTTATTGAAAACCAGTCTAAAACAATTTATGCCCCACTGGCAGGATATTCACTCTTTGTCCCCAGAGCTCTCTGAAATGGCTGTTCAGCAGCCTTGCCAGAAAGCCAGAAGAGCAGAAGTCCCTCTGTCCCATGTCCACACATATGGGACAATCACTGAGAAAGCCTGAGCCCAAACCATAGGAGTATGTGCCTTAGACAAGTGATAGTAGAATTCTCTGGGAACAATGAAGTGTGAAGAGTGAAGAGTCTAGTAGTAGCCAAGAACAACAACAACAACAACAATGCTTTAACTGATGAGGGAAATACATATCCTGCTTATGCCTTCTTCATTGCTCAGTACATGCAAGCCATAAATATAAAACAAGATACTATTGCTTCTCTTTAATGTCAGCCATCACAGTAATACTCATCCATTGACTAGAATGCTGGAAAACAGGAGGTGGCTTGCTTTTTACAAAATGATTGGGCAGAATCCTGCCTGCACATTTGCCTTTATGTATCAGCAACAATAAGAACTAGAGAATTCCTTTCAAAAAATGAAAGCTTAGAATACAGGCCACCTAATGATGTAATTGTGCATTGGGTCACAGCGCATAAAATCGGAACAAAACACAGCCATAGAGGAGACTTTACAGTTTGTCTGTCTGGCTTTGTTGTTAATGTGGAAAGGACCTGTGAGGGTGGGGGAAGTATTGCATCTTGGTCTACTATCTAAATTTGCACCTCAGTTGCAGTCTGGAGACCCTGATCAATGACCTATTTTAGTGATTCCACCATGTTACAAACCCCAAGGAATATCTCCATATGGGGCCACTGATGCCATCATATTTTAAAAAATTAATGTATGGGTCTGGTTAATAATGTTGCAAGCAGTCTAGTGAAGCTTATTCTCTCCTGCCCACCCCTACACCAGAGCCAGTTTGGTGTAGTGGTTAAGTGTGCAAACTCTAATCTGCTTTGTTGTTAATGTGGAAAGGACCTGTGGGGGTGGGGGAAGTATTACATCTTGGTCTGCTATCTAAATTTGCACCTCAGCTGCAGTCTGGAGACCCTGATCAATGGCCCATTTTAGTGATTCCACCATGTTACAAACCCCATGGAACATCTCCATATGGGGCCACTGATGTCATCATATTTTAAAAAATTAATGTATGGGTCTGGTTAATAATGTTGCAAGCAGTCTAGTGAAGCTTATTCTCTCCTCCCCACCCCTTTCTTTAATTTTAGTTTGAATATACCTCCATTCTTTAGGACTTGGAATTTTGAAAATTCCTTGGATTTGAAATGGGATATAATTTTACTCAAAACTGCTGATATAATTGCTAAAAGTCTGGAGCAAATAGGCCACAGTTCCCTTTTTATTTCAATGCAAAAAGTCTCTATATGCAGTTCAGTGAGCAAAAGCTTGGGTGAAGAGTATCTGTGCTAAGGCATCACTTTAAAATTCCTAGTTTGGCCCACTGACAAATGCTCAAAATAGCTGACTCTGATGTGATGCTGATTACCAGCTTTCAGCATATGTGGGGGCTTGTTCAGTGCAGCTCTTTTTCACAAATAAATGTCGCAGCAGACTTACTGGTGCAGAAACTTTTTAATGGTGTGGTTTGCAATGTGGAAAGACTTAATTGGCAATAAGGATTGTTACATGCATTCTGCCTTCCCAGTGCACTTTTAATCATCCTCTTAAAGGAACACATCATGACAAAGAAGTGTCATTGATTATTGAACATGTATGAGCTCTAATTTCCCCCCTACTCCTTATATAGGCTCTACATTTTTTGGTGTTGGGGGGATAAAAAATAGATTAGCTACACACCTCTGAGAACCAGATCAAGAGCATAGGCCAGAATCAGTTTTGAATCAATTTTGTTTTCTCCGTCTGCCTCCAGTCAATTGTCAAAAGAAAGTGGCTTTTGGAAAACACAAAATGGTCCCTGCTGAGCACAGGATATCACTAATTAATGGAAATGCTTCTCCTTGTGCTGCTGCTGTTTCAATTTCTGACATTCTAAGGAAGCACTGGCCAAAGAAGAGTAATTTACCCCCCACACACACACTTCTGGCTTATGCAAAAGCCTTTACTTCACACTGGCCTCATGCTGGCTGTTTAGGTAGTTCCTGAAATTGTGGCTGCTGTTTTTGGGGCTGTGTAATTTGCTGGACTTGCAGGTAACTAGGAAGACAGCTACATTTCCCTATAAAAATGTGAGACAATCATGAATTGAGGAAGTTCATGTGAAGGGTTTCCTGCAGCCATGTTGCATTGTGCCATAGCCCTAGTATGGACTGTTTTGTGCTACTAAATGCTGCAAACTGTCAAAATGGAATTGTGGAGTTGGAGTCAAGAATAGTACAGTTGATCTTCAGAAGGTGATTTGTGAAAGGCAGTTTAGAGAATAGTATAAAATGCAAAGGGAACATTGTGATTCTTATTGTAAGCCACAGTTGCAAACAGCAGGAAACCTGGAATAACATTTTTTAAAGGGCATGCAGTTGCCATAGTAAAGTTGCAGGCAGCTGAAGTAAGTCAGCACACAATTAAAGTGTGGCCTTAGGCTTTTGAAAACTCTGACCCTCTAGGCCTTTGTCATCTCCCATTCTACAGATTCTGAGAGAGAATCCTCAGGAATTGTCTTCCAGCCTTCCTGTAAATGTGTTCTGCCTTCTTGAATTAGATTCCTGCAGATGAATCTGTAAGCTGGTGCAGTGCCTCACTTTGACATACAACATCTGTCTGAAGACCCTTCTGCGGTGGACTTGGCTCACGCTCTTTGTTACTGCTCAGCCTGATCTATTTATTTTGAATTCATTGTCAGGCAAACCAGGAAGCAGTAATTAGCCGGGCCCCAGACCAGAAAGCTGATCGAGCTGCCAGCCTGCAGGATGCGTCAGCAGTTTATGATCTCCTCAGTATCACACTGGGCAGAAGAGGGCAGTATGTCATGCTTTCTGAGGTAACTAACCCAACATTTTCTTTTTTAACAGAGACAGCACTCATAATTTTTTCAAACAGAAGCCACCTTGCTTATAATATTTGTTGAAGTGTGTCCAAATGGCAGTACATTCCACTGAAACATTTATTGGTGTACAAATTCAGCCTTGGGGCATAAGCAATATCTATGACTCCATCTGAATTAGAATTCTGGGACCATTTTCCTACATCCTACCAACAGTGTAGAAGTTGCTGCAGATGGCTTAATGTTTTGCCACTAACGTGAGAAGCCCAGGGCCACGGGGAGAAGCCCAAGCTACAGCATTTTTCCATAGCAGCACTGTCTCCCTAAGAAAAACATCCCCTTCTCAAACACAGCATGATGAAAGAAAGGATGTTCGGGCTTGGTTCATACAGTCAAGGGAATGCAGCAGCAGAGCTGTGTGGTGGTAGAATGGACCGTGTAATTATTTATTTAGAATATTCCTGTGTCGCCTCTTCAGAGTTCTACTCGGAGCATCTTACAATTAAAAACCACAGTATAAAATACTAGCTATTTAGAAAACACAGGCCATTATGATATGTTTTAATCTATATTGTTGTGGTTTTATTTAAATTCTGTGTTTTAGCTGTTTTAACATATCTTGTGTAAGCCGCCCTGACCCTGACTTGGCAGGGAGGGCGGGATATAAATTAAACAAATAAAATAATAATAAAAAAAATTAAAACACACATGCACAAGCCTGGATAAAAAGATGTGTTTTAACCTGGTGCCTAAAAGAAAGTAAAATGCTTCAAAGGGGAGGGCATTCTAAAGGCATGGCGCCACCACAGAAAATCCCCTGTCTCTAGTTGCCAGCCATTGACCTCACCTCTGAAGGCAGGGGCACAGAGAGTGGGGCTAGAAAGGCAGAGCTTCACTGGCTGTCTGGACTGCACCACTTCAGACTGCAGCTAGTAAATCAACTTTTGGGATGCTCCCTTATGTTTGTTTTTTAAATCACTTTCTGCAGATAAAAAACCAGCACAGCAAGCAAAGAGAGGGAATATGACTTGTTGGGCTAGTTTTCCATTTACATGGAGTTTTTAATGCAAAGGAACATTCAAAGCTGGAATCCACTAACTGCATTCTGAAGTGTGAAACCACCCTAGGTCTCTGTCACCTTATTCTCCTGCATGTGATAATTAGGCTGGAGAGATTACCAACATGATGAACCAGTGAAATCCTAAGAAAACCTCTCTGGGAATAAGCCCCACTGAGTAGACTTTAGTAGGATTCTGAGTAAACCTGTTTAGGATTGCTTTATAAATAACCAAACCCAGCATTCTCAGTATGTCAATGAAAAACCCAACCTAGTTCCCTGTGTGCCTGTATGAACTATGTTCAGGTTTCTGAGTGTCAGAACCTAGGGTCAGTCCAAGCTGAATTCCAGGGTCAGAGTGAAAGTTCAGTCCAAAGGTCAGTTACCAAGACAGCAGAGTCCAATTCAGAGCATTATACAGGAAGCAAGAGCCAATAGTCTGAGGTCATTCATAAGTGAAGGGAGGAAGATGTCAGAGTTAAGAGCCAGTCCAAGGGTCACTGAGTCAAGACATTAGTGACTTGTTGCTTCCACATCAAGCAGTCTCCCTTGACTTGCTTTTATAGGTCTCTGCAGGAAGGTCTTACTTGCAGCCAGCTGCTTGGGAGTAACCCTGCAACTACTCATCATCAGCAAGCAGCTGGCATCGGGCCAGGAGAGATGCCCTTTGTCTTGTTTCCTGAAGCTCCATTCTAAGCCTTTGTCTCCGGCGCTCAAAGGGTGTGGGTGAAACTGGCCACCTGGGTTTTCTTTGTTGGAAGTGGGCTGGAAGGTGTTGTTGGCTCTACATCAGCTGTCAGCTGTGAACTCTGAAAAGCCTGCAGCTCATCTTCTTGCTTGCTGGTTTCTGCTGGTTCAGAGCTAATTTCCTGAGGCTCTTCTTCTCCTGAGGAATCCTCACTGTTGCTGAGCCCTGGCTGACCCATGTCACCGAGTTAGAGAAAATGGGAGTGAACTAAGGTAATGAAACAGTTCTTTCCCCCCAAACACTGTGAAAATATAACTGAAGGCATTCAGACTACTTCACTTGAGCCACCCTGATTGTATGGGATATCTCTTGCACACCTCTGACGTGAACCATCCCAGGTGGATACTTCTGTTGTAGGCTTTTTAAAAAAATTACCTAATGTTGAGGGTTCTGAATCCTCTTTTGGTAACCCATTCTACAAAAATTACAGTGGAATAATATACCTAACCATCCACTCTGGTCATCTTCAGAGGCCTTGCTTCTGGTCTCCCCACTATCTGAGGCTAGACTACGTGGTGGTAAGTCAGGAAAAGGGCCTTCTCAGTCATCGCACCAAACCTTTGGAACCCCCTCCCCAGGGAGATTAATCTGTTTCCCTGTTATTATCTTCCTCCAGTGGGTAAGGACTTTTTTTTCATCTGGGAACCTCTGGCACACTCTTATTGGCCCTCAACCCTGGTTGTGTGTGTTTGTATGTCTATATGTTTTTATTGTATTGTTAGATAGATACACACATGTGCATGAATATATGAATTTATATAACACTGTTTTAATGTTTTAAGGGGTTTAATGCCTTGATATTTGCCACATTGAGGATCCTGTTTGGATGGAAAGGGGGTATATAAATGTTTTACATTTCAAAAAGTAAATGTTTGCTTGGTCCCATTTTATTTAGTGGAGCTCACTCCCAGGCACATATTCTTAGGACTTCAGCCAAAGAAATCTGATGATGCCTCTCTTTTGTTTTTCCCTGTTAGTGTTTAGAACGTGCGATGAAGCTTGCATTTGGTGAATTTCACCTCTGGTATCAGTTGGCACTTTCCATGGCAGCTTGTGGCAAGGTAAGGCCCAAATCAAAGAGGGATTCCCATGATTGAGTAGGGTTGCCAGGTCCCCTCGTCGATCCAGCAGGGGGACTTGGGGGGGGGGTTCTGGGGGGTTTGCCCCAAAACCACAGCATCTCCTGCATGACATCACTGACACGTTGACATCCCTTCTGGGTTATGTCATTGTGTCAGCGACATTGCATGGCAACCTCCCTGCTTAGGGGTGGGATCTACCCGATCCCTTCTGGGTTATGTCATTGTGTCAGCAATGTTGCATGGCGACGTCCCTGCTTAGGGGTGAAGTCTACTCACTGGCCAGCTGGTCCATGGTGGGGAGAAGCCCCTGAAAGCGGGGGATCCCCCACTTGGACCTGGGGGCTGCCAACCCTGTTAATGAGACACCAAGGCAATGGGTAATCTGAACTGTTGTTGTTATATGTAATTAATATTACAAATTATGATGATGGATAGCCTGACTTTTCTCTGTGAATCAAAGCTACTAACAACTATGATTTATAAAGGGATGTCCCTTTTGCCATCAGCAAACTAATTATTCAGGGTCTGCCTTCTCATAACCATTTAAAGAGAGCAAAGACTTGTCCTCTGTTGCTTCAGAGAACAAGACAAGATCCAGTGAACTTAAGTGTTGCAGGGTAGACTTTGGCTGAACATAGGCGTGACATTCTAATGGTGATAGCTGTTTCACAGTGGAATGAATGGCTTAGGGTGGAAAAAGTCTCTCCTTTGCTGGAGGTCTTCAAGAAGCCAGGGATGTTCTATCTTTGAATTCCTTGCACTGAATAGGGAGTTGGGCTAGAAGGCCTATAAAGCCCTTTTTAGCTCCATGGTTCTATGAAAGCAGTTAATTTATTCAACACTGTACTTGCCAAATCCTGCTCCTCCCTTCTTCTACTGGAGCTTTTTATTTTTCCAGAGGGTGTAGGTTGCCCTAGATGTTGCCACTAAATTGCCAGCCAGTTCTCTGTGCTCATGTTAGCACACACACACGAACACATACACAAACACACACACACACACACAGAGGTATAAAACCTAGTAACTCAGTTAATGACAAAAAACCCCTAGTAGCTCAGTTAATGATATGAGTGTGAGGACAAAACCCACAGTTACATAATGTTTATTCAATATTGTTATATTTTTGTACAATGCCATACTACATACATAAAATCTGCTTGGTCCTTAATTATGTTTTAGCATTGTACTGAGATATTTCCAAACAATATTCTTATTCCTGTCGGAATGTGGTAAGGTTGATATAAAATTGTTAATGAATTATCTTGTTGCTATACATAGGAAAGTGTGAACTTAATAGTCTTTTCCCCTCTTTCTTTAGTTTTTAATATATATCAGCTGGACTTGCAACAGTGTGAGTGTGTGCGCGCATGTTTAAATACATGTAGACATAAATTCATTATGCTTCTTATTAAAATTTGGGACCAGACTAGAAATGATGGAGGAAGATCTGTGACTGGATCTCAAGGATTTTAAACTTAGTAACTACCACGGGGAGTGGGAGATTGTATCGAAATAGTAGATGGGGATCTTACATTATAATTGCTGTTTATTGCTTTTTTCAGTTTGCTGTTTATATTGGTGATGTTATCACCAATTTTTAATAGTAGTGAATTCCCTTCTCTGTAGCGTATTCTTTGACATGCTCTTTCAGTTGTGTAAAGTATATTACATCCAAATTCACATGCACACTGGTAGAAGTGTATTTAAAGAAGTGGGAAAAAACAGGAATTCCATAACCTTAAATCTTCTGGAAGTAGCAAGATGTTCGCAAATTGATATCAGGTCTGTAAAGACCGGGGACCTTGGGCATAACAAACTTCCTTCCCCTTTACTTGCTTCATCTATGCAGTATTTTGTTTCTACTGTCAAACCTTTCCTGGAGGTTTCCTGTCATATTCACTGCTATTCCATCATCTCACTAATGGGGGGGGGGCATGCAGCCTACAATTTTTGTCATGCTCTGCAATTCAGTGAACCTGGACTGGGACCAGTAATGAGGGAGAGATGATGAGGAAACAGGACTACTGGGTGCCCTTGGGGTTTTAGGTAAAAGATCACTTTTCACCTGTCTCTTGGCCACAGCCAATTCCTGACAGCATTACTAAGAAATGAGATCCTACATCCTGAGGTTTTATTTTCAGACCTGCAGTACTTGAGAATGTGACTCATAAATATGTGGTATGACGGATACACAGTTTGACAAGTCCTTCTATTGCCCCATGAATCTTCAGATCTTTGATAATAATATCTTTTAAGTGTAACCAGAGGACCTGCTCCTGCATTAATCTTGTTCTGCCTCCTGTTCATGATGCTGCACTCTGCTATGGTTAACTTCCACTTCACGAAAGCTCTGCCCTTATAATCAGAGACAATGAAAAGACTATATCTGATGATGCAATGTCCCTGACACAATGACATCACCCAGAAGGGATGTCATCGTGTCAGTGATGTCATGCAGGGGACGCTCTGGTTTTTGGGCAAGAGTTTCCTCTTGCTGGTCAACACATTAGCATAATACAAAGCCCGTTCATATAAGGATGTGTTAATATTCCTAAGTAAACGTGCAAACAGGCTTTAAAAATAAATTCTCTCAAACTATGCCCCTAGTGATTTCCCTGTTGAATGGCCAGCAGTCTGTGACTCAAAATGCACAACTGTTTGCTGATCAGCTAGCTAAGAGGCTGTCAAGTTTGAAAGGAGGAGTAGACCTTTCTCTGGTGCCACCCTCCTTCCTCCCTCTCCATCATCCTATCCTTAACTATGACTGTTTCACCAACCATGCTGCCCTTGTAACAAACGAATTGGGTCTCAATCCAGTCCACATTAGCATTTGTGAGTGTTGAATGCATGGTAGTTATCCTGGGTTAATTAACTCATGGCAATAAAACAGGAATGTGATGGGGGACTCTTTTGATCGGTGTGCAAATGCAGGTAGTAGGCAAAGGGGACAGCACTTTAATCTCCCTGACTGACTCTTGAAATATTTTTCTGGGTAGCACAAGGGAACGAGGGAGGGGGGCTTTGCAAATAGCTGCTCTGCTCCCGGTGGCACCTTGGTTACTCTGTGGGCGAGAGAATCAAATGGCTCCCAGCTGATGTTTGCTGTTCCACTGCAATTCTGGCAGGGTGTCAGGCAGAGAATGTACAGCGAGGCTCCTTTGTAATCCGTCGCCGCTGTTTCATTTCACTTTCGGCTTCTTGCCTTTAAAAGTCAGCGTCGCGCAGAGATGAGGTGCTCCGGGGCAATTTAATAAGACATGTGACACATGCATTGGCATTCAGAGTCTGCAACTAGGTCGTTATTAGTGTTTGTCTGTGAGTGGTTCAAATTGTAAGCTGCATCCTACCCAATGTGGTATAAGCAAAGTGTGTAGTGTAAGGGCTAGAATATTAGTCCTGGACTAGGGAAACTGGGTTCATGTCTCCCTCCTCAGCCTTTGGACAGTTAATGTATCTCAACCAAACATGTTATGTTTGTTGCCAGGACAGAAGAAGGGAAAAAACCTCATGGTCTGAACTGTTTGAAGAAAGGGGAGAATGCAAATGCAATGAACTAAGAAAAATATATATCCATAAACACAGATGCTCAATATTTAGATTTTAAAATGCAAAAAGGCAACAGCCATGCAACAAAAAAAAGTATAGCGATTGTTTTAGCAAGCTTAATTTTTGACCTGGCAGTTTCCCTGCTTGCACAGAGTGGTACAAATCCTTCCAGAAAGTTATGGGGAACAATTTATAAATATATCTAATGTGCAGTTCCACGGCAGCAAGGAGTGGATTTGATTTGGGATGCTTCTTCTATTGCTTTCCTTGCAAAAGCTTAGCCTGGTTGCTAAGTAACATACTTAAAAAAAAAGAGCACATTCGTCTTTTCATTGCAGTCAGGAGCCTTGGGAGATGCAGGGGCCTTAGATGGCTCCTTAAATAGCTCAAGCAGGGAAAGAAAGTTAAAACATTGTACATCCAGTGGTTCAAGATTTGGTTACAAAGGTCATCCATCTAGAGGACATACAGTTGTTTCATTTCTTTAGCTGGAGAGGAACGGGGGGCGGGGGGTGAGATACAGAAAAATGTACGCCTTGAAGACAGTGCAGCACATGGAAATTTCCAAAGATTCCTCAAAATTCAGCAGAATCATAGCAAGATGACTAAAGCTGTACTTGGATAACAGCCAGTGGCTCAAACAATTGGGTTATCATTCTAAATACTGAGAGCAGTTTTATATTAGATTCTATAACGTCTGTCATCTCAGGCAATTACTTTAATGATGAGGATAAAACAGACCGACAGCAGCTTCTCCCATGCCTGTGGCAACTCCTATTAGCCAGGTACAGGGACAAGTATATATCAGCAGAAGTGCCTGAAACTGAGAGGCCTCAAATTCAGAACTGTAATAGACAATCCATATTAACGTAACTGAATTTAAATGAATATGTGCTTACTTCGGAAGGCAACATCGGAAATGCTAGCACTTTAATATTGTTGATTTTAACACTGTTTTATGACATTGTATTATGTATGAATTATTTATTAATCTGATGAACTGTGTTTTATGTATTATGAAAATTGTTTTGCTGTTGTGAGCCGCCCTGAGCCAGCCTAGGCTGGATGGATGGGATAGAAATCAATTAAATAAATAAATACATACATACATACTTTGGGTTTGGAAGGTAGCCAACAAAGGACACCAACATCTGTGTTTTGCAGTAGTGAGCTTTCAAGAGTATGTTGCTTGTTTGTAGAGGATCTTATGCTTCAAAGTCTAGCTCTGTCTGTCTTCCTTGCCTACTCCTATATGCACTGCTCATTTTGGCAGGGCAGCAAAACAGGGCCCCTCACTAGGCACAGGGCACTTCCCTATGCTACAAAATAAGCTTGCAAATTAATGAAGGGCAAATTGAATTTTAGTTGCATACACAAAACTGAGGTGGGAGGGGAAATTTCTCAGCTGAAGCACCTAAGAACTTTTAGTGTCGTTGAGGGGGTTGATTTGAGTCTGGGGAGGATTTTCCAATTATTTATCCTCCTGTGAATCTCTATCTGGGTGTGTACATTTCTAAAGAAGGTGACATCACACAAATACTATACATTTCTTGTCACCTGTATGAACAAACTGGTTCTACAAGGGGGTGCTTCTTTGAAGCCTCCAACTTGTTAAGAAAATGTGGACCCAAGCAATTATGAATTTGAAATCAGGGATAGTTCAGGTAGGAAGATCTGCTGCTCAAAACTATGTGCAAACATGGAACAGTGGATCATATCAGAGATAATTGTTCAGCCAACCCTGGATTGGTGCTTCAGTTGTAGTTTTTACTCTGATGTGTGTTCTAATGAACAAGTAGAGTTTCTTCATGTCATCCTTCCTCACACATTCCAGTGGTAGGCTAGTTCATACGTACACACACAGATTCCTGTTTCATGCAAAACAGGTAATTCCATCAAAAAGAGTAATGTTGTCCTTACTGGCAGGGCACTTTTTTGCGTCTACTGGAACCTTTATACAGGGGTGATGATATTTTAGGGTTCATCCACTTTAGGGTTCATCCACTTTAGGGTTCCCATTACAGTGGGAAAATTTCAGGGCAAATTCCCTCTAAAATATGTATGATGGATGGAAATACCATATCAACATTGTACCTTGACATTTGGTATTACTTGGGGCCTAACTATATCATCCTCTCATCGTCCCTCGGTCTACCATAAAGACTTTCAGGCAGATGTACCTTGCAAGTTCTGTGCTTGGAACTGAATTCCCAGACAGGCAGGCAGGGGCTCGGTTCAGGTCAGAATTGCTGCTCACATAGAGAAGGGGCTTATGCCTTCTCATCCCCCATGCTGTTTTCCCAATCTAGAATGGCCCCAGGGAGCCACTGTTTGTCCCATAGGGTAAACTTACATGTATTGATGGTTACATATAAGTTTCCCCAGCTAGGCAAATAATGGGTTGCTGGAGCCATTTCAGGTCAGGAAAATGGCACCAGGGGGTTGTGGAAGCCCACTCTCCCAACACATTGTAGTTTCAATGCAAATTGAAACTCTGCATGTGTTGATTCCCAGTGGGGAATTTGCAACCCATGTCTCTTTGTGAAGAACAGAATAAAACATGGGACTGCGGTAGTCATAAGAACAAAAGAACATAAGAGACGCCAATGTTGGATCAGGCCAAAGGCCCATCCAGTCCAACACTCTGTGTCACACAGTGGCCAGAAACACCAGTGCCATCAGGAGGTCCACCAGTGGGGCCAGGACATTAGAAGTAGTCCCATCTAGTCATAAAGAAAACCAGATACCTTTTTGATCTGAATTTCAACAGCCATGCCATTTCACCTTATAAAAGGCATGATTTCTATTTCTGTCCTTATAGCAAGTTAAGGGGCAAGAATTTGGATCTGATGTGGTTGCTGAATGACAGGTGCTAGAACCCAAAATGGAGAATAACGATTGGCTACCTATCTGGATTAGTATTACACGACTTTGCATTGATCAGAGGCATTCAAATGGGGAATTTATATCCTGACGTGCAACTTGTATTGAGATTCTCCCCTGCTATACAGCCACATCACTAATAAGTCTAATTATTACTATCTTGCAGTGAACCTTGCAAACAATGCACTTTCCACCCACAGTGTCACTGAAGAATAGCAACATTTTAATTAGCTAATTATTTAGACCCTACACAAACAGAACTGAATCAGAATTTCTCTAAGATGGCTGCTCTGTGATCATTCAGTCTCCCTCAACTGACTGTTTTTCCCCCATCCTCCAACTTCCATCCCCTCCCCCTTCTGAACTCTCAGCCCCTGAACACTGGAAGGCTCCTGCACATGCTTGCAGTGCCTTACAGGCATGACAGAGAGAAACCCAGGTGATGATGCTTTCCCCTTCGCTTCACCAGGAAATGTACCTGCTGGATATTAAAATTCTTTTTATTAATTTAATTTGTTAAAAGCAATGGGATAACCAGATTTACCATATGAGTTCTTGCGTTCCCAGGGAAGTTACCATTTAGCTCAATTGTTTCCACCCACTCTTCCCAGGCAGCTCGGGACAGAATTTCAGCTAGAGGCTGAGGCCCAGAATGCATTGGAATGACTATAAAGTGACCAGACTTTTTATATGTTTGTTTGCTTCCTAAGGAGCTGCGGTGGCTCAAGTGGTTAAGACGCTGAACTGCAGGCTGTGGAAGGTCGGTAGTTCAGCAGTTCGAGACCCGAGTTGCCGCATGATGGAGTGAGCTCCCGTCTCTAGTTCCAGCTCCTGCCAACCTAGCAGTTCGAAAGTAAGAAATTGCAAGTAGATAAATAGGTACCACTTTGGTGGGAAGGTAACAGCGTTCCGTTCGCCTTGGTGTTTAGTCATGCCGGCCACATGACCATGGAAACGTCTTCGGACAGCGCTGGCTCTTCGGCTTGGAAACGGAGATGAGCACCGCAACCCTAGAGTCAGACTCGACTGGCTTTTGAGCAAGGGAACATTTACCTTTACCTTTACCTTGGTTAGTTAGGTCCAGTTGATATTTGCTTAATCAACACTAATGGCAGGAAGCTGCTTCTTTAGCATCTCATGATGGATGGCTGATACCATCCAGGATGCACCTCTCAGACAGCGCAGGGCAGAAGGAAAAAATGCTGCTCTTCAATAAGTGCCTGTGGGAGAAAAAACTGCTAGCAGAGTTGTAACACAGTGTGGCCACAAAGAGAGACCCAGGTCTGAATGTTGGCAGTGGCTGGAAGGAGTCTGAATGATGGAGACGGGGGGGGGGGTGGCGGCAACAGAGAACTGATACCATTGTCCAGATGAGAAAACACAATACATTTCCACTGCTTTCTCATTCAAAAGAAACTTAAGCCCTGCAGTGCTGCTGGGGTTGCCAACTCCAGATTGGGAAACGGCTGGATGTTTTGGGAGTGGAGCCTGGGGAGAGTGGGGCTTGGGGAGGGGAAGAACCTCAGTGGGATGTGATGTCATAGGAGCCCACCCACAAAAGCAGCTATTTCCTCCAGGGGAACTGATCCCGGCAGTCTGGAGATCAGCTGTAATTCCAGGAGATCTCCAGAGCCTACCTGGAGCTTGGCAACCCAGCGTGCTACCCTAGGACTTCTCACTTCTCAGGAGGCATGGAGAGTGGGTAACTATATTTTTGCTGCTGTAGAACATGTAATTTAATAAAGTGGCTCTGAGCAAGTGGAGAGTCCCATTCTCTGGCACATGGGACTGGGAGGGGGAAAGAATTAAGCTTCCGCTTATTTATTATGTTCTGTCTCGTCATTCCTCCGGGGGGGGGGAATGCAGGGCTTCCCCGTATGATCTGATCCTCACAACCACCCTGTGAGACAGATGAGGCTGAGAGATAAAGACTGGCCCAAAGTCACCAAGAAGGTTCATGGCTCAGCGGGAATTTGAACCTGGCCTGTCCCCGACATTCTAGGCAGTACACCACACTGTCTCTCAGTGTCTAATGTGAGAGTGTGCTTTCAGAAAATGCCACACCTGTACATTCTTTCCTTTGTGAAGCGCTATGGAGCACTGGGGAGATGACATGATGAACAAGCAGCCTGTGCTTAATAAATACACTATCTTAACTACTCTTCTCTTTTCTCTCCCTGTTTCTTTTGACCAGTCCGCACATGCTGTCTCGGTGCTCAGAGAATGTGCAAAGCTGCGTCCTGAGGATCCTACAGTCCCTCTCCTTGCTGCCAAGGTCTGCATTGGGCCTCTGCACTGGGTAAGCAAGCTGGTGCAGTGCTTCTTACATAATGCATTAGGTGCCGCATTGACAGCCCTTGAGTGTAGTTAAAAGAGAGGAGGGATGGGGAGGCATTGGAGGAGGGGAAGAATGGGGAACAGCTGCAAAATTATAGATCTCCACTGAAATGTTGCCATGGGGGGGCACTGAAAATGCTGTTCTCCGATTGTTCAGAGCAAAGGAGGGGGGGAAAAGAGATCCCACTGCAGCCTGGTTATAAATTGCCAGCAAGGAGTTGTTTTCTTGAAGTGATTTCTCCAAATGCTATTTGAACAACTAGTTTTTGTCCCCTAATGACAGTGATCGCGGCCCAGTCCCATGCAAATATATTCAGAAGTAAGCTTAACAGGCTACTGTGTGCATAGGGTTGCAGCCCAAATGAATGTAGCAGCTGATTCTACTGCTCAAAAAGCTTGCTTTGCTCCAACCAGCAGCTGGCTCTTTTTAATTTTATTCTCCATGTTACAATGGCTGAAGGGTTTTCCCCCCCATTTCAGTCTTGTTAAAATGTACCCTCCAGTCACAGCGGCAGGGGTGGGTGGGAGAAAAACCATGCCTCGCAAAATGCTGATTATCTTCAAGAGCAGAAGCATCTGCTGGGCTTTAGCTGTTTGCTTTTAGTATATTCTCCAAGCGAGAGCTGGCTGTTTCCATGAATGTATTCTCCGCCAGGTGGCCCTGAAGTCAGCAGCAGATTACTGCTGAGAATATTCAGTAAAATCAGAAGAGACAGACTGCAGAGAGAAGAAAATATACGTTTGCAGAGTGCTTCTGGTTGATTAATTGTCTTGCTTTTAATTGATCTGACTGAATAATGAACGGGTTGAAATAAATATTACAGTATCACAATACAGGTGATAAAGCCCTGAGGATACTCAACATAGGCCCCGGTCACAAGGGCCGGAAAATGCGGGGGGGGAAGCGTGGCTGTTTGCCCCGGAGCAAATTAATGCGCAGCCGCTGGATCCCACATCCCGCCGACGTCCCGTGGTTCGGGGGGAGGTGGCGATCACACGACGATCCTGCAGCACGGCAAAGAAGCGGCGCGGCGCAATCTCACCAATGGCATGCGCGATTCTGCAGAGCAACGGAACTTTAGGTTTCCTCTCTGTGCGCATGCGCCGTTGGGTGCTTGTGCACATCCTGTGGAGACTTGGGGGGAAAAACCTGTTTGCAACAGGACATGGGCGGGCGCCGGATGCCACAGACTACCACCGGAAACGCGATCAGATGCCAGCCCTTGCCCCGCGGTTTCCGGAAACGAGTACCTCGGAGGTACTAGTTTTTAACTCCGCATCTTTGGCAGGAAGCCTCGGGTTCGCCATGGGAGCTTTACGCTTCCCAGATGTTGCGGTGTGATCGTGCCCGGAAAATCTGCCTATCATCCGTCTCAGTAGCGTGGCTAATGCTCCATGTGACCGCAGCCATAGACTCATATTCTGTCACCTAACACAGACAAATTATTTATTCATAGAAGAATAATTTTTCATTGTTAATATTAAACGTTTTATAGTGCTGGGTAGTCATTTGATATGCATTGCCAAATGAGTACTTAAAAAAATTGAATTATGGGAATGCAGTGTGGGGAAAGGGAGCATGGATCAGTGCATGAATCACATGCAGAAGTTCCAGGTTCAATCCCTGTCAGTCTCCAGTAAAAAGGATCTCAAGTAGCAGGTGCTGGGAAAAACTTTTCTCTGAGACCCTGTGGAATTACTACTGCACATCTGAGGAGACAGTTCTGAGTTAAAGGAACCAATGGTCTTACCTAGAATAAGTCTGTCTCATAGGTTCAGCAATTGTCTTATTATTTTGCTTGGGATACACCTAGATATCTTGTTTTTCACCAGGAAGTGATCACACTTCCTTTGAAATCTTCTGTCTGTAGTACTATGCTGTCTTGCTCCCATGCCCAAAGTTAGTGAACTAGCATGTTCCTTCATAAGAAACCTGGAATCAACTATGTATGTCCCAGCATATTATACAGAAAGCTGAAATATGAACGCATTCGGAGCTGCTAACATTCCTATTCAAGAGGAGCCAGCCCAGTCCCTATTTAACTCTACATGTTAAATTTTGTAGTTAATTAATTATTCACTTTATTAATCAATGTAAGCTTAATTAAAGTACCCTTTGCATAATAATAAAACTGATCATATGAAGTTTTTAATAATTAAATGTGTCAAATTCTGGGAAAGTCTGCCCATAAGAGTAATAGGTTATAATCCACAGGGTCCTATGCACCAACCATGTATCCAGTTTTTTGTGTGTTTTTCCCCCTTTCTCTCCCATATCCATCCTGCAAAGGCTCTTGGCCTATTTTTCCAAGAATTTTTGCTTAAATTTCCACAAACATCCCACGGTTGTGTTTTAAATATAGGAGAATGTATTACATAGAAGAATTACTATGGGAGCAGATTGCAAGAGGAACATAATCAAAAAAGTATGTGTATGTGCTGATGGTCCCAACTATAGTTTTACTTTCCTCATTATGACTAAATGGCAATCATTCATCAATATGGAAGAAAGTAAGGGGTCGTAAAATGTAAATTTGACGCGGTCTTTATCCATTTGTTGGTAGTCCTGCATTGTTCAACACCAATGCACAGTACTTTAGCCCTGGAACAGCTTCTTTCCTAAATACTGTAATTAAGTTTATTGTGTGCTTTCTCATTGCACAATAATAAAATTAGAATGAGATTCTTGTCAATGGAAGTTGAGTGACCTAGTCATGGTGTAAATAACTAGGTACAGTTAGGTATCTGGTATAGCAACCTAAATGGAAAATTATCTACTGTTCAGTTATAAAATATTAAGCTGGTTTATTTTGGGGAAGCTTTTAAAGTGTGACTTCCTCTGTGTATTTCAAGCAAGCTGTAAATATGATGTTAGTTTTGAAATAAATTTAGAAATGTAATTGCCACTTAGCTACAGAGAGAGAGAGAAAGGGGTGGGGGAGAGAGGAGAAACAGAGTTGGAACAGTACATATCAATGAAAAAACTCCAGTTGTGTTCTTTCCCTTTCTAATATGTGTTCCTGGTATGATGTTAGATCCTGGTTAGTTTATCATATTAAAGCCATACTTAAATCTTAATTGCCTAATCTTTTCTATGGCTTTGACTACTCATAATTTTAATAATTGCAGTGATCGGAAGTCTCTCTTCCTAATCAAGCTGCCATTTAATTTACCTACCAGCCTTTGTGTGCAGAATCCCGATGTTCTTTGGACACAGAAAAGAGAATTAAGTTGTAAGCCAAGGACATATTTGATAGAATAAACTCTCCTATTGGGTTGCCAGTTTTGGGTAGGGAAGTTCCTATAGATGAGGAGGTGGAGCCTGGGGAGGTCAGAGTTTGAAAAGGGGAGGGAGCGCACAGGGATGCAGTGCCATAAAGTACATCCACCAAAGCTGTCATTTTCTCCAGGGGAACTAACAGCTGTAGACTGGAGACCAGTCATAAATCTGGGAGAGCTCCAAGCTTCACCTGAAGGTTGGCAGCCTCATCCCTTGCAAACAGGATACCAACTCCAGGTTGGCAAGTTCTTGGACATTTTGGGGGTGGGGCCTGGGGAGGGCAGGGTTTGGGGAGGAGACGGGCCTCAGTAGGGTATAATGCCATAGAGTCATTGGGGACTGATTGGGATTTGTACTGGAGTGGAAAAGCCATTGAGGTAGAGAGGCCATTGGGAACCCTGTTTGGGTGTAAAGGTGGCATAATGGCTAAGAGCAGCGGTTAGTATGCTGTAGTGGTTAAGAGCAGCAGACTCTAATCCGGAGAACCGGGGTTGATTCCCCCACTCCTCCTCCACCTGAAGCCTTTGGGCCAGTCACAAGTGCTTGTTGTGGGGAGACCAAGGAGAGGTGATTGTAAGCCCCTTTGAAACTCCTTAGGGAAGAGAAAAGTGGGGTATAAAAACTAACCTTCTGAATAAATAAATAAATAAATAAATAATAACATTTTCTTCAGGGGAACTGATCTCTGTAGTCAGGAGATTGGCTGTAATTCCAGGAGACCTCCGGGCTCCACCCGGAATCTGGCAACCCTGTCTACAGACCCAACCTGAATAGAGAGGCAACAGTGTCAGAGCTGTGCACATCACTCCAGGGCAACTTGCAGACAAAAGTGCAGTGTGTTGTGAGTGATAGAGAGAAGTATTCTGGGAGAACCGCCCCATCCAGGCAGCCCAACCATTTGCATGAAACAGGTTTCCCCCTCTAATGAAGGGAAGGGTAATTGTAGGTAGACATCCCTTTGGAACAAGTTTTCCTTCTGCATGGATTGGCAGGAGTGTGATCCAGAAGTGCAGACGTACCTACTTTGCGTGAAAATCTATCATTCATTCCTCAAATGTATCACTACTTAACTGGTGAGTTACCTTAGGCTGTTCTTTGCTCCTGTAGGGATATAAAGATTAACAATTTTCCCTCTTCATGTATAGAAATCACTCTCAGTCTTCAGATAGCTTCAGGAATTTCATCAGGCATATGTTGTGAACCTTTTCATGAAAAGCCTACAGGGCAAAAGATAATCACTTGCTTTTAAAGTTATAATGAAGAAACATCTCCAAAGATTTTTAGCAGCTATTTGGAATACCCATTGCCTCATAAATACATGAATTGCCTAGCTAGATTGAGCTGTAGGCCATACGTTTTCCTCCCTGCAATGGGTAGCCAGGCAGGTCTAGGTCCAGTTGTGGAGTCAACGCTTTGCATGCTAATTGTTCTTGGGTCAATTTTTGGCTGTTTCTGTTCATAAATGATCTTATTTAGCCTCCACTTGAGACACTGGAGAGACCAACTGCTGGCCAAGGCCAAGGTATATAATAATGCATTACAGAGATTTGAAGGCTGACTAAATCAGCTCTTTATTCTGTACCAACAGGGCATGATGGAATCGTACTCTGCTGTTTGCTCAATAATTAGAAGGGTCTTTAGAGATTAACTAGCCCAACTGTTGCTCAGTGTAGCTAATCTAT